AGCCAAGAGCTCTCCGTACAAATTAAAAACGAGTTTGTTGTTTATTTATTTTTAAACGCTCCCGAGCCGCGTCGCTCTGCCACGGCGCCGGCGCGGCATCGCATTGCGCCGCGCGCCGTACTGCGCGGCACCGTGCCGGACCGCAACCGCACCGGACGACGCTCCACTATTTGTACACTTCCCACTTTCCTCTGATATTGTTTAATTAGGACGGAACAAAAGGCCCATTTGCATTCAACGGAACGCCACAATTTCTTCATTTGTTTGATGGCTTCAAGTTGGTTGCGATCGTTGTTTATTGCAATACTTACCTGTTTTTTTAGAGCTTTTATATAACGATTTAATGTTCTTAGCCAGGTGAACAATAGGTACCTATCTACATTATATCCATGGATAATAAACAAAACTGTTATTTAGCATCACGAGTGCCGCGAGGACACTGCATACACCGAGGACCGCACTGCAACTATCACCGATTCTTTGATTGGCGGTAATTGGTTTGAAATGTCTACACACACAAATACATACCTAAATGATTAAATAGAAATATTTATAAAGTTCTAAAGAAATAAGTAACAGAATTGCGGGTGTCACAGAAGCATTAGTTTGGACCGCCATTCAACCCTGAATTCCTGTCGATAAATAAACAGCTTTGACAGTAATAAATAAAGTTTTACGACATAATAATCTAAATGATGAGATAGTTCCTCAGGTGTTAAGTTACTTAGTGGGTACGTGCATGTTTGGATTTGCTTATTATTGTTCAAGGGATACTGAAGATGTTACACGAAGCAACCAAAGACAGGGAGTGGTACTGTCAGTCTGAAATCGTGCTACTGATATAACACACTAGCTACTTCCGCGCGTTTTCACACGCTCTGCTCAGCTCCTATTGGTCATAGCGTGATTAAAAATCACTGGCTGAATCAGGCCTATAGCCATCCTCGATAAATACGCTATCCAACACAAAAAGAATTATTCAAATCAGACTTGTAGTTACGGAGATTAGCGCGTTCAAACAAACAAACAAAAAAACAAACTCTTCCGCTTTATATTTATATTGTCCATAGGTATACTTAGGTACTGGAAGAGTTTGCGTAACTCTCTGAATAAATAATACTTCAGTTTATTTAAACATGTAGTTCGCCTTACTGCATGCATGTTGCATGTTGACATCAGTTTAGATGATGATGACTCAGTGACTGGTGAACTGCTACCAGTCGGTCCTGGCAGCTGCAGTTGACCAGTCCACCTGGCTGGCTGCCAACCGGTCAGGCGCATACTTAGCTAATGTTCGGCTAATGAACCAACACGACTCACATAATGTTCCAACGACTTATGATGTCCTGGTAGCTCGGTCTGTTGTAAACTCAAAGAATAAAGACCTAACTAGTTTCAGAGACTTTTCTAATTTATGAGCTTCTTAATCCATCAATCAACAAGTTTTGTTTGTACTGTTTATATTTGGTGCCGGTCTTCACTGTCCAATTCTCATCCTTCACGATCATATGGTATGCGTCTCGATATAACCTACAGTTCTAGATCGCAAAAAAAAATATTAAACTTACCATAAAGAAACCAACACAATCGTGTGACTAGTGAGGAAGCGCGGCAGGACGCGCCGCAATTTCGTTGATATTTATTTGCCAGCACCAACTCTTAATGAAAACGGCCACCATTTGCAATGGCCAGACAAAATTAAGCACATTCATGCATAATTTAAAACGTAATAAATCGCGAGTGAAGCAGCTAATTAGACAATAAAACTTGGAGCAGCCCTTATTATGACCCTTATACCGGCCGGACCGGCATATCGCGAACTCTCAATCGTTTTTACCGACTTTTCGTTTATACACGAAGTTGCACCGCACCTGAACATATTACTGCGTGGTAAGTGCGTTTATAAGCACACTAGCTGTTGCCCGCGGCTTCGTCCGCGTAGACTAATATTTTTGGCTTCGGTATCGATTGTCACACTCTAAGTATTCTTTTAAAAAAATATATCAATGTATAGTTTTGACTTTTCTACGATTTTATTATATGTACCTCTATATAGAGTATAGATCACATCCAACTCCAACACAATTATTTATGGATAATTTAGGTACATAAAATTGTATCCATTACACATTCCTCAGCAGCTTGCACAAGTGATGGATATGGCTATATATAGTTTTCAGCCTAATTTCATTAGTTTACAAAGATATCTTTAAAAATACCTAGAAGACGAAATTCGAAGACACTAAAACTTTTGTCATTACATTGCTTTAGAGTAGTACTACGAAGCTTATGAGGCGACATAGGAGTTGAGGTGTCAGTAAAATCGTAGAATATAGCTTAGTATCACACGCTATAGCCGGCAAACAGCTCGCTCGGCTGGCCAGCCACTTAGCCGACAGCGTTATGATAGCTTTGTGTTTAGCAAACCCTCGAGCGACGGTCAATTACTATCTGCGAGCACTGAGCAGCTACACTGCATGTAAGTGGGATCGGATTATGTGCAAACATGTGCGCGACCTGCTCTACTTACTATACTACTTACGTACATGCTGTCAGTGTGTGTGTATGTCTGTGCGACACTCGATGTGCAGGTATCGTGTGACACTAATACGTCTCTGTACAGTACATACCACATACAACTGTTTCGCATCGTTGTTATACTCACTATCATCAAGAAATCGACTAACAAAAGATCGACTATTACAAATTATTTCACCTCATTTCATTTTCTCACGTGTCGTAGGAGCGTTTGCAAATCATCGCACTTCAGACTCTAAACAATAAGTACTACAAAATGTACAGGTACAATGTACTAACTAGTTATATAAAGCTGAAGAGTTTGTTTGTTTGTTTGATCGCTCTAATCTTCGGGACTACCAGTCCGATTTCAATAATTATTTTTGTGTTGGATACTCCATTTATCGAGGAAGGGTACAAAATATCACGCTCCGAACAAAAGGAGCCAAGCAGAGCGGGTGCAACCGCGCGGAAGTAGCTAGTTAATAATAGTTCAGTATGGACTCTATATAATGTATCCCCACGAAGTTTAAGGTAGAAAAGTTTGCACCGCGGCCGCTCGTCAAGTGAACCAATGCCCAGCGGCGACCCTTCGGTACTCGGTTTATTGCTGAAACAGTAAAAATATTACGATAACTTGTAAATCACTTTTTATTTTTATGACAAATATTAACGTTTGAAATTGGGTAATTTTTTACGTAAAGGTTTAATAATACTGGTTAAAATAAGAGTTTTATTAACCTGGTAGTTGTATAAATTTCTTTATTTTAACGCGATTCATTATAATATGGAATAAAATAGAATAGTCTAATAAAATAAACAGTTTATAAACTGTTATACGTAGGTACACATAGGAAACTGAGATGCAATCAAACCACATATATAAGATACATTTCCACATTCTGTTTACGGAGGGCGCTCGAGGCGCACATTTTTTCACATGTAATGTGACACCTTATATGGCGAGTAAAGAGCAAAAAGTGTAAGAAGTTAGCGGCGGCTGGCGACCGGCGGAGCGGCGCGGATTGATGACCACGCCACGCGCCGAGATTGATAAATGTGCACGTAATCAGCCCGCACCGAAATAACAAACACTCCCGACAATTTAAAATGCAATTACCGTCCGGAAACGTCGCTAATTAAACGGAGATATTCGTTAATGGCCCCCTCTCACTTGGCCACCCCCCCTCCCCCCCGGGTCTGCTCTGACCCCGAGCGGACTTGGCTTCAATTTGTAATGACATTACCTTCGCAACCTTTTTTGTTGAAGGACGAAACGAGCCATCTCTTATTGGAGCCAGTTATGTGAAATTAACGAGTTTCTATTAGGGCCAGGCGTTACCGAGCGAGACACGGATATATAGGTACCCATGTAACAAAAATTGTTAGTGATTTGTTCCAGGTAGCCTCGCTCTTGATGCTAAGTACCTAAGTGAGTAGGGATGCATTATTATAACATGGAGCACTGAACCTCACTAAATTGCTCAAGCAAATGCGAGCTGTCGTCACACGCATATTAAGATCAAATAAGTTCCAAATACCAATCAAAACTAATTTAGTTTTAATTGAACTGCCGTGACAACTACACTGACACTAATTAAGTGTGATGAACTAATACGGCCTCGTTGACCGAGTGGTCGGAAGTGCGACTGCCGGGGAAGGGGTCTCGGGTTCGATTTCCGAGTCAGGCAAAGTATCTAGGGATTTAAAAAATAATCTCAGTAGTAGCACGAAGTCTGGAATTGTGCCCGGTATATGGCAATAGGCTCACCCCCTATTACATGGGACTCATAACATAAATAGTATAAAGTAGGTTTTACGTTGTAAAGTGGCATTAATTGCCGTCATGTACACCGCTGCCTACCCCTTCGGGGATAAAAAGCGTGATGATATGTTCTGAACTAATACCTAAATTGATAATAATATGAACAGTAAGTGTAGAATACACCGTACCCTTTTTTTGCAAATTGTATAAAATGAAAATTGCATAAGTTACACCCGGTTGTGTGTGTGTGTGTGTGTGTGTGTGGTGTGGTGCAGTGAGCACCGTGACGTCAGGTGTATGTGTCCCGCGTAAATATGCGGTGTACATGTGATCGCTTAGCCTAATAAGCAGCGCGGGGGCTGGCCGGCCGCCAGCAGCCGCCAGCAGCCGCCAGACTTATGGAACTGCACAACAAACGCTGACTCAGCTGTGATTAAGATTTCGCTGTTACCGCCATCCTCCAAACGAATGGCTCGGCCCGCTTACTCTATGAATGGTTTTTATTACAAGGCACCGCTTCAAGAACCTTATCTCAGTTATAAAAAAGATTTGTCTGGTGGTTGCAGAATGTAGACCCGAATGTGCAGCATAATATAGTATTATACTGTAATATACTGTTAAAAAAAAGATAATTTCTGTATATGCATTTCATATTGCTTTAGTAACTGTCTACCTCTTTAGTTATTTGCGTTTGCTACATACCGTCTGTATTTTAAAGGAGGAGCTCCGGGACAACCTAACGGTGAGCGTGATGAGCTTCGTGCCGACGTTAGACGACGACGGCAAGCCCATCACCTGCCGCGCGGAGAACCCGAACGTCACCACCCTCAGCATGGACACCTCCTGGACCATCAACGTCGTCTGTAAGTCGCCCGGACCCCACCAATACAATCCGTGTATAGTCTCCGTGACACATGGAGCTGTGGCCTGTTCCAAATATAATTACATCGAGATAAAACGAGACAAATAAAGTAGGTACTCCATACGCAGCAGTTAGTCTCAGAGACATGTTTTTCTCAAAGAAATGTGTGCGGTTCGAGCGCTGTGGGCGCTGTGGGCGCCGTGGGACGCCGCACCAGTCGCAAACATTTAATTTATTGGCTACCTAGCGTGCCTTACTTTCAAAGTAGCTTCATTATTAAATTAAACGTGTTTTATGAAAAATGTGTAGGTACGTTACGCATTTTAACCTAATGTCTCTATTTAAAAACACATTGTCAACAATGCAGTGGTAGTTATTACAGTATCTTGGTTGCAGACCCGCCGGTGGTGCGGCTGAGGCTGGGCAGCTCGCTCGCGGCCGGCGACATCAAGGAGGGGGACGACGTGTACTTCGAGTGCCACGTGCGAGCCAACCCACCCGCCAGGAAACTGTCATGGCTACACGACGTGAGTACTTTAATACTTAGCCATACTCGTAGCCAATGTCAAATAACTTTACGTCGTACTCGTAGTAAGTGTAGCACATTGCCGTCGTAGCACAGCGTTGTAGCAGCAGTGCTACGCACCGAGCTCGTAGCTCAATGAGTGGCTCGGCTCGACGATACGACAGAGTGGGATCATAATTATTATAATGTTTGTTGTTACAAATATAAGCCAATCATGTAAAGTTAGTATATTAAATAATGTTTCGAATAACGTTCAGAAATAATATGAAATCAATAAAATTATTGTCATGAACGTAATTTTCAGTAGTAGTAGAGTAGTAGCAGTTCAGTAGAGAAGCCCAAACGAGTGACTTGCCTAGAGACTACGGCATAATAATGACATGTAATGAGTGGGACGATAAAAAAACCCACAGTGCGGTGCAAGCAGTGGTTGGTGTGTCGAGAGCCCGCGGAGCGCGCGGGTAAAGTAATAGACGACGATGTACGGTCCGATAATCGCTTTGTACTGTGTCGCTCTGTTTTAATCAGCAATATACAGGGTGGGCGGGACACATTTTTTTTTTTGTTTCGCTTCACCCTTTCAGAGGCAATCAGCCGCGCGTTGTTACACGGATCGCGACACGCATCACCGCGCCCGCCTCCACTCACTACGCTTTTTTCTCTGTATTGTTTCCACGTAGTGTTGTGCTGTCAGTACCGGGACTCGAGCCGACTCTATCCGACCCACTTGCCAGGCCACAAGTCCACATGACAATATACCTAGCACTCGCCTCACCGTGTAGCATCGCATCGCTTGCTAGAGATGCATTCCTGTCCGAAGACTGTTTTCATGTGCCTGTTTGAACAAAAAAAATACTTAGGAATTAATACATTGGAATTAAAAGATTATAAATTGAAGTTTAGCAAGCATTGCAATTTAAAAAGAAACCTTCTCAAAACAGTTAATTTCTGTTCATAAAAAGTAACAAATTTGAAATCATTAATTTTCTCATTCTCGTAATTAGAAACAATACGTCATGGGACTAAGAACAATATATCAACGTAATGAACACAAGAAAGTGAATCCCGTGCAAGGAAACAAGGAGCGATGTCTGCGTGAATCATCCATGCGCAATATAATGAGTTGTCAACGTCCACTTCAGCAGGTTTTGTGTTATTTGGAATTTAAACAATTTGGAGCAATTGTGTGACTTGGGGGGTGGGGCAGGATGGGAGGGGGTGGGGGGGTGACATCGAGAGATATTGGTGGCGGTGATAGCCGCAGTGATTAAACAAAAGCGTGCATCGCGCGCATTGTGCGGCGGTCACCGCGTGACGTACGACGCGCGATATTATTCGCGTCATTTTTGTCGCACGACGCGACGCGCCGCCGTCCATTTGTCGCGCGGTGTTGACACGTCTCATTGTTTTATGTGTGATTGTTTTTGACAAATGGCGGACGCAGCGCCGCCGCGCGAATTAAAACGCACATAATTTACAGCGGTTATTTGCCCTGTATAGCGGGCAATGTTTACGATCACCACTCCCAACCATATCGAAAATATTTAGTTTATTTTCATACCAATATCTATATCGGTTTGTATTCTTTGCTAGCAGTGTGTGTGTACTTGGCAAGCAGTGATCCCATAATAAGTACTCTGGGTACGAATGACTCCAGCGATATATTGTTTTAATTCTCACACGAAGGTAATTGGATTATAAATATAAGTTTGATAATAAACACTCACACGATAATGAACTTACCACAATACCCACAGACACAGGGTACCCGGTCACACGGCGCGATGCTCACGCCAGGGAGTACATTATTGTTGCTGGGCAGTTTAAAGAAAAGCATTAAAACCTCTGTATTAGGATCCGCTAGTGAATTCAAGATACAATTTTCCGGAATAAGGAATGCTTTGTAAAATATTTTCATAATTATTTCATTCATTTTTCACTAAAGCCATTACTTTTATATTTTGTCCTTAGAACGTAATATTATGTGTTTGTGAGCATCCCGGGACAACCACGGGACGGTGTATATTATTCATCATTAATGCTAACACCGTCCTACGTATTAACAGGGAATTGACGCCGGACTCATATACACTCACATCACTCAGCCACTCGTACAATATTAAATAAAATTACACAAGTACACAACCGTGTGAGTGCCGCCACTTTACTACACCAATATATGCAAATAAGGTCGTTTTGATCATTATCATTTTGTTTAAACGTCACGACGTTGGACTCCACACAAATTCTCGGAATATTACTTACTAATATCTCTGGTATTTGAGTTATGGCGACGGGTAGTTCGATACATTGCGGGGATCTTTGTAACTACTACATACTTTGTGTGAGACGAAACAATAACCTCCCGCCACAAATACACGGCACCTCGTAGTTTGTGTCCTCGAACCTCTCATATTATTTCAACAACGAGTCCAAACGGTGACTAGAGCGCCAGTTATTTCACATGTGCTGCTGCCTTGCAGTACAAATCGTAGGTGACGTGAACAGGATCGAATCTGTGCAAAAACTCGTACGAGGCACTCGTCTCCCAGGCTAGCATTTGCACCAGCTCGCAGTAGTTACTCACTGGCGTCACGGACTGGTAGGACCTGTTTGTCTGCCTTTACACAATCTGCAGTAGCTGTAACACAGACCTAGTGCTCGCTGCATGTCATTTCAAAGTCCAAACCACCAAACATAATTAGAGGTATATTAAAAAAAACTTTTTACACGCACAAAGGAAGAGTAGACAATTGCTGGTTTGATTGAAACATGTAAATATCACAAGACAAATAATATTGTATCTTTATGGAATCCTTATGAACTGTGTAGTCAGCAGATATTTAAATATTGAGGTAACCAATAAAATGTTACCTCTCGCAATTTTCTCTCAACAGACGCAAACAATATATGCTAAAGGATCCTTTACAAATAAACGGATTTTAATAATAAAATCAAAATATATCGAGAGCGAGCCCTCAATCGGATTGAAGTATCAATATCTTGCGCATCAAGTGCCCGCTTCCCGCGAACTAATATCAACCGGGATCCAAGATGGCGGCGACTTGTCAATCAATGGGACATTATAATATTATTTATAAACTACGTTTAAAAGAGCTGACTACGACCCTCTCTCTTTTCGAGGTCGTTTTAATAATACACTAAAACTTTACCCTAATTGTAACAAACACTTTCCTGAATACCGCATCAAAATCGGTACAGCCAATCGTGAGATAACCGCGCACAAACGTACATACATACAGGTCAAACTGAGAACCTCCTTCTTTTTTAAAGTCGGTTAATAAATAAATACCTACCGAGTAAAAACAGTAGGGATTATTAATTTTAATATTTTATTTTTTTATTTGTAATATTTATTTAAGATAATAATGGGCATAAATAAAATTAATATTAACTATTACTACATAAAAATATATACAACTTACAATATAAATAACTATGAACTAAAATATTTACACCTTAAAAAAATGATAAAAATTTTCCTCATCGCTATCGTGAGGTATGGTGCCCAAAAGACTGGCAGCGTTGCCACGTTGAAAGGCAATGCTTAACCTTTGTCCAAGGTAGAAGCCAGCCCTTCGATCTCCTGAAGTATCAACCATCCTCCTTACATTATAATATCTTTGTAAAGAAGATACTTATATATATTAAATATATTTTAATGCCAATGAATGACCGGTCCCTAAGTATATTATAGTAGTTGTGACGTTGTGAGCGACCGACTGCAGCCTGACGAGTACATTACGGGACTATAAGTAGAGCACGACCAGGGCTCGTCCCTGGTAACTGCGACTGATGAGCTGTCACAATAATAAGACGACGCATAAATTCCTCGTCTTAAGCCACCATAAATTCCAGTCAAATTTATATAAATTATAATCTGAACAATTAGTCAGGGCGGAGTTGGTGAGCCGATGACTTACGGCCGCGCGCTGCCCAGCTGCCGGCGGCGGCTGCCCCTTAATGTTCAATCATATTTTATCGTACAAGATATAACCAGCGGCACTCGAATAAGCTCATTCTGATGATTAAATTAATGTCTACTATTATCTACAGAGCGCGTTCGGCTTTAGGACCCACCAAATAGTCGAAGGGGTGCAACGCACGATGCGAGTAACTCAACTAAATATTACGAAGTACATTTCTCTCCAATCATTGAGTACATTAGTATTATCATTTACAGTATTCATTACTGTCACGTGGAATGATATGGAAGAGACTTGGGGCCATAAAGTGGAGTCCACGTCCAAAGTATATTTATATCGTGGTAAATTCCCGAAGTGGGGCCCTTCAAACGCGGCGGTAACGGGCGCACGGGACGGCACCGCGTCGACTCCGATGCCCCGGTCTCATTTAAATAGTTATTACCGCCTAATAGTTGTAATAAAGTTATACTGAATTCCAAATGTAATTCGAATAGCTTCAATCGGAAACTCACGAATGGGACTTGGAACTGATTATATTCTAAGAACTTGACTCACAATCGCAATCATTTTATGAATGAGTAGGTACTGCACACATGAAAAGGCGCTCTTATTTTATTTATTTAAAATAAAATAAGAGCGCCAACAATTTTTTAAAGTCATGAAATTAGATTATTTTAAACAATTTAAATACACAAATGTCTTATGTTACGCTCTCTCGTGTCTGTCATCATTTGATACAAATTTGAGCACGTGGAGCAATGTGGTTCCTGAACAACTAGGTAATGTAAATATCCTCATCCAGTAGTTTTAGGTTGATAGTGGTGGTCACTTAGCTTATGCCAACTAGAGGAGACAGGGACATATAGAGGCGTGAGTACGGTATACGTGACGGTTGCTGAGCTGAGCGCTTGGTATCTGGTGGGCAGCTCTAGTCGTCTCGAATGCCTACACACCAATCACGAAGAATACTCGAACGTCTCGAGCTGAATGTAAGCAAACAGTGTTATCAGGTGGAAAATACCTCTCTTTATTCGTTAATGGTAGCTATTTGCGCGGAGTGGCGCGGGCTGGGGGCGCGGGGTGCGGGGCGCAGGGGCGCGGGGCTCCCTCGCGACCTCCCGTGATCATCCGCGAGATTGTGCTCCAATGAAACTCGTCTGCCTCATAATGGACCAGCCTGATTGAATCAGTCGTTCTCCATTCACGCGGGATGGATCCCAAGATCAAGATTTTTCGAAACGTTTCCTGTAGTGTTGATGAGAAAATCACCGATGAATCTATTTGTATCAATTCACACACATACGTATGTGTGCAGGAGTCGTACTCTTCCCGTTATCTGCCGCTAGATTCAATCAGAGAAGTTTATATTTGGAATAAGTTTGTTAACGAAGTCTTACAGAATGATCCTACCATCAATGACAATATTTCAACTTCAGTACAATATGACTGGTGTAAAGATATCTTGCGAATACAATTAATAATATATTTATTTATTCATTGGTAACTTTTAGAAATAAAAAACAAATGTAGCTACTACAATAAAACTTATAGAGAAAATTAAATATTTAAATAAAAAGAAAAGGAAAGAAAAAAGAGAACAATTTGCAACTTCCAACAGCATAACTTACAACTTAATAATATATTTTCGCTAGAGTAGAAACATATTTATAAGTTTTGGTGTAAACACACAGACATGCCTGTATGTTGATATGTTGGTATCTCAGCCAGCACTGAGCCCCACTGAACTGATTCCGGTCGCGGACCAAGTTTTCCAATTTGCAACGTCTCAAGATCGATCAGATTATTGACACACACAGCACACACCAAGAACCTCCGTTCAACTATTATTACCTAAATCACCGTATCTTATGTCGGTTGCACCAAGAAACATTACGTGATAAAAATAATAAAGTTGGGTAACAATGTCACACTGTAACATTCTTACATTGGATCCGTAGAGCCAATCAACACTTGAAATAGTAATTAAACAAAAATATCAAAAGGAATTGCTTGAAACAGAAGCAGCCGTGTTCTCTTCCCTCGTAATATTAATATTCGTGTAAAGTCGCAATAACCAGCGCGACGCGAGCGCCCTCTGCCCAGCGACACCGACTCGTCGCTACAAAGGTAAAGGCGCAATTATGTGTTTTTCATCAGCGCCAACAGTCTGTAGCACTAATTTCACGCAGCTTTCAAAATGTCTTTTTTAATTTCCCCTTTTGCAACGAAACAACGGAGTCATCGGACTAAACCCATTTTGTGTTCACCAGTTTCGTCGACATTTTGTAAAACGATATTACAACTGTGTACAGCTACTGGGGGCCGCCGCTCACTGAGCATGGTGTACCTGAACTTGACTCGGCTTTCTACATCATACCCAACCACCTGCCCACATTAAACCAAATAATTTTAGGCATAGTCTAAGTCATTTTCATCTTCAGCTTTTGCATTTAGCATAGTAAGCATCCAAAATATCCAAATTAATTAAGGCATACATTACAATGTTTACTAAAGCTGTACTAACCAAATTTCTTCTCACTCACTTTTTTCTACATTATACCAATATACTTATGCTTACGTTCAGCTCACTGGGTACTTACATGTCATTGTGTCAATTTAAGTTTCGTTTAAGATAACAGATATGATGAATAGTGGACATACAGCACAGCCAAGACAAACGACTGTTGTTGTTATAAATAAAACAAAAGACAATAATTGTCCAAATATGAAAGTAAGTCTAATCAGGAACGGATCTCTGGCATACAGCGAGGGGAACACGTCCCACTGATACTAAAAATCTTTTTGTTTGAAACAAAAAATATATAATCAGTCCTCTCTACTACGTAACGAGTACCTTTGTCCGCTGGAGTGGCGCCTTTTGTAGGGCCGGCGGTAATGGGCGGACCCTTTGTGTAAATATATTCTAGTAATTGTACCCCCACGCCCCCGCTCCTGCGCCTCTCAGGAAAGAACATTTACGTCATCATAATATTGCACGAATATTTTTTCATGTTACGTTACATCGTGATCGACGTGGCTTATAAAATGTTACTGCTCACCTTTTTGTTTTAGTTTTTATTCGGTTTCAATAGAACTAAGTTGAGTTACAGTGTGTGTGTGTGTGTGTGTGTTGTTGCAGGACCGCGCACTGGCACACAACGCGACGGCGCGCGTGTTCCACAGCAACCAGAGCCTCGTGCTGCAGAAGGTGACGCGCCACAGCTCCGGCCGCTACGCCTGCTCGGCGCTTAACGCCGAGGGGGAGACCGTCTCCAACGAGTTGCTCTTCAGGGTCAAATGTAAATACAACAATGTTACATAATCTCATTACTACTGCACTCGTTACATCATACCACAAATATTTAACTCGACCTCATGTCTATGTAAACACGTAAAGTATTTGCTGAAACGATTCCAGCACCCGGTGAATAGGGATATAGTCTCATCGCATTGATAGTATTTTAAATTCAGTGTTGGCTCCCTAAATCTCCGAAGGATTCGACAGTTTCATGCAATATTCACGCGCCATTCGGGCCTTGTCGTTTCACGTCAAACAGAATTATGCAAGAAGATAAAGCATACCATATTGGAATGTACTGGGAGATGTGAATGAGTGCTGCAGCATCCGCGACTCCCATCCATTGGTTTAGTGCTCACACTCACTATGTCTACCTTTAAATTCATCCTTGAGATGGTCCTGAATTCGTACTACAAGTTTAATTAAAAAAGTAAGATTAACGTGAGTTCGTTACTGAAAGACTATTAGCGGTGTTCAATACTATCATGTGTTGTAGCAGCAGGAATATATTTACAAATAAAACCCCTCCAGTAGATAAACTTGCAGCGGGAGTGGTCTGCTCTCCACCACTCGCATGGCACCTCCTGTTAACTGTCGCTTTACCGGAGCTGAGCGGCTGAGTATCGTGGCGGTGACGAGGAGTGCCGCAGGTGCTGGTATCTCCGCGCGCCTCGCTGTACGTCAACCGCTTCGTCTCACTAATGGTTGTCGATCTATTTTGCCAATTGTAAGATATGGCCCTGACAAAATAAGATGGGAATTTTAATGGCGAACATAACTGCGAGTAATGTCGTAATAAATTTTGTTTCACAAGAAAAAATGTTTTGTAATGAAGTTGCTGTTATTGCTCGTTACGATCGGAGCAATTCCATTCGTGACCCGCTGCCGTTAGTCTCCACTGGCTTTGTTCAAATAACTTGCTCCAGTTCGAAGGTAGATTATCCTATTACGTTTTGCATTACCTATTTAAATGGGTTTTGTCTCGGAACGTTTAATATGTTTCAAGATTTCACTACGGCAGCTGCGACCCCGCTATTTTATTTTGACGCTCACTAGCAAAATGGAGACGATTGTAATAAAATGAGGCAATCGCGTTTATTGCATCAATTGTTTCTCTCGCTAAGGCGGATCTCGTTTTAATTGGCGAATACTTAATTAGTATGTGGGTGAGTGACGGCGGCGCGTGGTGTCGCGGCTGCCATTAGGGGTGACCCGCGACCACTTAATTACTCCTTACCCCTCATTCACAATTTACGACACCCTTGACCTTCACTTTCAACACGTGCATGTCGCTGTAAACATGAAGTAAAACTATTATGTGAGGTTCATATAACATTCATCGGTCGATGTCAGGCTATTGTTCTGGACTCTTTGATCTTACTCCGTATCTTTGCTCCCAGTTTCATCCAAATCTGTTCAGTAGTTTTTGCGTAAAGGGTTACAAGCATACATCCATACATACCCAGGAACTCTTATATTGGTACGATAGATTACTAAATGTAGTTACAGGTATACGTACGTTCTTATTGTGAATTCAATAAGGACTAAGATAAATGAATGAATTCGTCAAGGACGCTACTTGCTACTAAAGTTTATTAAAGAATTTACTAATGTCAAACTTTTGACAGCTACATTTAGTGTCACCTGATCAACACAGAAATAATAATCGTCATTGCGGCACGGTGCGTGTTGGTGTTCGCAGACGCGCCGTCGTGTCGGTCGAGCGGCGTGTCGGTGGTGGGCGCGGCGCGCGGCGAGTCCGTGGTGATCGTGTGCGAGGTGGACGCCGACCCGCCCGCCGCCGTCTTCAAGTGGAAGTTCAACAACTCCGGCGAGACGCTCGACGTCGCCGCCGACAGATACACCTCCAACGGCAGCGCGTCCAGCCTCAAGTACTAACGCATATTTATTGCAATATGCGTTATAATTTTAATAACCATTACGAAGATAAAATATCACATATTATTTACACATTAACTTTTCAAATACAAATATGTCTGCCGAGTAAGTAGGTTTCAATATTAGGAAAATATTACTGAGACTCGAAAATACAAAAAAGAAAGCAATAATATAATGATGGTACATAAGACTAACCACATAATTATGTAGGTGGGATGTGGCACTATATCCCATGCACTACTGCACTTGTGAATGTGGTCGAGGACACACAGTGAGCACGCGTTGCCCCGGCAGGTACACTCCGGTGGCAGACCTCGACTACGGCACGTTGTCGTGCTCCGCGTCCAACGAGGTGGGCGCGCAGCTCGCTCCCTGCGTCTTCCAGATGGTGGCGGCAGGTCAGTTTATACCTCACTTGGTGAACATATACACGTTTAAGTACTATTGTCAGTATGTACGTACCATTTTGACATTAATGCATTTCATTAAAATAAGGTGTTGTATGCACAGGCAAGCCGCATGCGCCCCGCAACTGCACGCTGTGGAACCAGACGGCGGAGTCGGTGGAGGTGTCCTGTGTGGCGGGCTTCGACGGCGGCCTGCCGCAGCGGTTCCTGCTCGAGGTGTACTCCGACAGCGCCGTGCCCAGGTACTCCTGCCCAGCACCCGCTACTCCCCCTCGCTCGTCACTGGCACTGTGACGCACACTCCTCACGTGTCGCGGCTTACCATGTTACCATAAACCCTACAACGGCTGGCGGGACGGGGCGGGAGGGGGCAGGCCGCGGGGGGACACGAGCATTGTTTTTAATATTACAGAGGCAATCTGGGCTCTCAAGCTGCGCCCCGGTGACGTGCGCAGACTTAACGACACCGTATTATTACAAAATTCCTTTATTATATTTCCCCGAACGCACCGGCTTAAGTGAAATAATGTGTATCGAAACCGTAATGGATATGGAAACGCGCGACCCTGACATTTTATTATTTTCACGAAACTGCTAAAATATAATAATAAAAAGCTAAGTGGAGGCACCGTCGTCCCTGGGACTGATGCAATCGAACTACATACACTGGGAGTGGACGAGGACACTAGGACAGCATCGGGCCGGGCGCGTGTCTGCACACTAGTAGTCGCGAGTGCGCGACATGAGTCGCTCTCAAAGTGGAATCCCGTGTAAACATCGGGGCCTCATTAAAGTTGGTGAAACAACGTTAATTGTGAATTAACACGGTGCGGGCCGGTCCCCGAGCGCCGCTCCCTCCGACCACGGTACCTACACGACGCGCATCTCTTGTCGTATTCCGTATTCATGTATTTCAGCGCGTAATACGCCTAGAAATAGGCTATTAATGTCGGCGGCTCCTTACCATCATCGTAGCAACAACATCGCTTCATATTCATACGCCGCGCGTCGTCCATAGAAGGTGTATACGCCCTGTCAACGGACGCTTGCTTCTTCTTCCACCAGTAGAGACTACTCTGATCCCTCGCCACGCTCTCTCTGGAACTTCTCGTATTTTGCGCAATCAACAATTTGCGAGTAAACACGTAGGTACTATTGTAATGTAAATTGGTATTGGCAGCGCATGACACCGCGCTCGCCTTGTAATTACTGGAGAATTATGGAGCTAAATAATTTCCAATAAAGCGTAACAGATGATGGGTTCCAGCTCGCCATTAGCAACAATAAAACGAGGATAACGAGAAAAATGTTAAAATATCACACAATTTTATTACCTCATAAAATGTTTGTTAGGATCGGAACCGGGCTCGTATACACTTTATGTACAATAATAAAATAAGTGTTAAATAATAATTACGCGATGTCAGCGTAACTGTTCACGTTGTTTGAAGAATATCTATACGAGGTTTATTCCGATTACGAATAATAATATAGGTTACCATAAAATAAACATAAATAGTACTTTTAGTCGAAACTAACCGTCTCGTTCATGCAGTAAACGTGGCCACGGCAGCTCCATTATTGCGATGAACTTAAATAAATCCAATAAGGACATCGACAGGATTACTCTCGACCCGCTCCACCATCGCTGGGGAACCTTGACTTACGATCAAGTGATCTTCCCAGACTACTAAAAACGTAACCTGATTTGTTTATGATGATAAACTGCAAGGTCAAGTAGACAAGAAACATTATTTGTTTTTAAAATTAATAACATCTGCAGTTCTGACGACGGTGACCACCGTCTGTCATGTTTAGATGTTATCGAGGTTTATCATGCAGGTACAGCTTGTCCTTCGACAAAGATTTCGCTTACCAACATTGTGTATTAAGGAAGGTCTATTTTGTTCTGTCCTGGGTAGAGATGTGTTGAGTAGGTAACTTACGAATCTATGATAAACTAGCTTCTGCCCGCGGCTTTGCCCGCATTTCGTGGTATTAAAAGTACTTTTGGTGTTATGTCAGACCATAATCTATCCATGTCCCAAATTACATCTCGATCTCTTCGGCCGTTGTGACGTGATGGAGTACCGAATATATCAATATACACACACTCTCATAAGCAATACAATAATTACAATATTCCTTAAATATAAGAGAATGATTTGGTGAGGTGTATGAACTATACTATGATGATATGATGTATTGTTTGTAGAGTGAACCTGTCTTCGGACGAGCCGTCGTGGACGGTGCGCGGGCTGGAGTGGGACGTGCGGCACCGGCTCGTCGCCGTCGCCTTCAACTCCAAGGGTCGCTCCGCGCCCGCCAAACTCGACGACGTGCTGTTTAGAGACCCGGAGAAGAGGACAGGTTAGTGACAGCACCACGAGTCCACGACCCGGTAACAAACTGCTCTCTAATCCGCCTCGCCACACGCTGAGACAAGTTCGGATTTGAATAGAATACCGCGACATTTAAGTACAATCATTAACTCGCCATTGAAACATACGAGCGGCGGCACTCGTCTATAACTAGTTTTTGTTCTAAATCACTCAGCGAAACTCAATTTGGAGGGTAAAGGGCGGGTCCCTCGGGAGCCGAGGCCGACGGCGGCGCACTAAGTGGCGGCCGAGCGGCCTTTATCCTCCGCGAATTATTAGCCGAGGGAAAACATTAGCCTCACCCGGGAAATATAAGTAACGAGGAAAAGTACCGGCTAAAACGTTCAGCATTCAGTGTTGATACTAAACGAAGTGACTCCAGCGCCCGACGCGCCCCGCCCCCGGCCCCACCTGGCCGCCATACTCGCCGCTAGCAGTAGTTTTTTGAAGAATCAATCGCAATGGACAATGAGACAGCGGCTTGCTCCGTAACCAAAGCAACACTTATAATGTCAGTAAATGTCAATATCGACCGGTGCAGAAGTAGGCCGCCCCGCTCTGCAACCTCAAGATAATCCTATTTTAATTAAACGCGCTCGGATTTACCAGCGAGCTTAATCAAGAGGTGGAGGCTCTCCTCGCACTGTGTGTCGCCAGTTCGCCACACTACTCCAACCTCACTTGGAGCCTGCAACTTTGACTCAGATTCACTTCAAACTATTTATTCTGTTATTTGTGTACATATGTATATTGTGAGGGTTTCAATGTAAATTCTTCTATTACTGGATAAAAATAAGTGGACCATCATTCGAGCCGACCACTGACGCAGAAAAACTAATGCGCGTGCTATCGACGTCGACATGTGGGCGCTTTAATTTCTCGCCTCGAAGGATGGCGCCTCGGATAACGATATTTTTAATATTGACCATTTGATATTATTATCTGGCCTATAAGGTCTAACCACGGATTGGTATCAGTAAACTCTAACGTACTGAGTTGTGATAAGTTTGTGATGTTTAAGTAAGGCTTTTATGGGAACAAAGTGGAGGGTATTTTAATACGGACGGCGTCACTCTCTCTTGAAAGTTCTTTTCAAAAATTCATAGTTTTCATTATTGTAAGTAGCAGATACTATTATCTGGCATCTAGAAGTTTGCCCGTACATAACTAGAACCACGGAGGCCACAGTGCTCGACTCAAGTTTACCAAAAATAATTCAATAAGAAAATATCCACGTCATGAGACTTTGAACAGTTTTACGCACACTAATACTCTAGTTGGTGTAATATGTGTAAATCAGGATTATACTAACTCAATCAGAGTAGTAGGCAATAAAATGGCGCGTTTGAATCAACGAAGGATTTAGGCAAAAATGATGCCAGCAAACATATCATTTTTATTTGGTTGGCGTTCGGCCGGAGCGGCCATTTGTTAGCCGGCTATTTGAGCCGTATTCAGTGGAGTCGACCCGCTAGCTCGAATAAATCAACCGCTTCGAGCCGCTCTGCCCGCACTGAAATATGATCGCGCGCCTCTCTAATCCGCCTTTTGTTTTAGAACCATTACTCCAACTCGAAACCGACCGGCCACTTACATATCGTCACTTAATCGACATATCATCGTGAAACCTAATTACTCAACATTAGTTAGTGTTCCGTGGTGAATATAAAGAACAACATGGCGGCAGCGCGAGCTGCTGCTATCGTCCACCTTGGGTACTCCCGGCAGACTCATTGTTTCTTTCGATTAAAGTAATAACTATGGACTTTATATGTCACACTGGGACACTCACAGTGTGATACAAGAATTGGCTGCACTACCGCTACCCAACACAAGTAAGCGTCGATTTGTTGATTGCGCGTAATATGGAGTGCAACCTTCGTTATGAGTACGCAATATTTTAAATCAGATCTGTTGTATTAATTACGAACCGTGGAAATATACAATAACCGTGTAATAAATCATTGACGAAGTGCAATGAATAATGATTATTCATTCGTTGTCGTTTTTATGAATCGACCGCGCCGGCGATGATTTATCGGCGAGTGCAGCGAGCGGCCGCGTATCGACGACGTCGCTTGTCGCTCGCCGCCAGTATCAAACTGAAATCTGCTTAAAATACCAAAACAGGAACAAATTTTAAGTAATAACAAAGCTCCATGAAGTGTTACCGTACAATATAGTCCCAAAAAATTGGTAAAAAAGTATTTATTTCTTCAAACTTGAGTTTTATAACACATAAGCATCATTCAGACACAACATGTGACACGTACGCTGGGAAACATAAACAAGCCTGCCTTACTATGCCTTACCCGGCTGTCGAGTAGAACATGTTGTGATTGTGATAGTTTGCAACTTATAATCTTCGAGTAACAAGTAAGAACAGCAATATAACGTAACGCAAGTAATTTGTTCCGGCCGAGCGACCGCTGCGCGCTGTGTCGCGTAGCGTCCCGGCCGTCGCGTCGCCCGTCGCGCGCCGTGTGTCGACCGCGACGCAACTTCTATCATTAATACCATTCCTCGTTATTAATATTACCATTAATATTATGCAAACTGCTAGTTCCGGGATAGTTTAACGTTATTTAAATGCTAGGAAACAACAGATGTTTTCCATAAACTAAAATAAATAATGAAAATCTATACGTTCAGGTGCATAGGCACCATCTCAACAGGAAGAAGTTATGAATATGAGGTAGGAGTAATAGTAGTAGGAACTGTGCAATGTATCGTTGAGATGCTATTCATAAAAACATGTTGAAATATTGTAATAGTTTATGGTTTCGTTCAATTACAGAAAAAATATCTTATGAAATTTTAATATGGATTATAATTGGTTATTGAGTTCTATGACTGTGATATTACTGATGTTCAGACATATATAAAAAATATTTTAATAATTAAAAATTTGACAATTACAATTATTAAAAATTCATTGATTACTATTATTAAAATTTGACTTTTAACTTTAATTTGCACGCCATGACGAGTGGCAAACAGGTCTTAAGTACAACCTTATCTTGTTCAACTTATATGCATGCACATGTGTGTGTGTGTGTGTGTGTATGTATTCACATGTTGTCCTGCACCACTATCTAACTCTCAATATTATTTTTCTTTTCATAAACGATATGTTTACTGTGTTCAGCGTCGGAGGCACAGCTGGGTGTGAGCGGCGTGGTGGGCGCGCTGGGCGCGGGCGCGGGCGCGGTGTGTGCGCTGGTGGCGGGCGCGTGCGCGCTGGCGCTGCGCCGGCGCCGCCGCCCACGCCTCGCTAAGCCGCCGCCCGCGCCCGCGCCGCCCGCCAAGCTCGACCACGACGATGCCGAGCCAGATCTCATACCTAATAACTACTGTAAGTACTCCATTGACTCTCAGAACCACCTAAAGTTACTGAGTCTTTCCAACTTTAAAACTGTACCATTCAAATAAATAAATAAACCAAAATTGTAACAGCAGGTTTGTACCTACAATATGTCAGTGCTACTCGATGTAATTTAAAAGGTAATCCTCGCTAAATAGATAACAGCACAATATACAAGTAGAAGCATCCGCGAGGTTATAGTGCCGGACACAAACACCTCGGCCCCGCACGACAGCGCGAGGGCCCTCTTGTGACGTCACGACACTCTATTTGAATGCACGCGCTCTCAGTCCTCGTAACTAAATTATTCATCAGAAGCCGCCGCTGCCATTAACACAATACTTCACATCTGCAACACACTTACCGGCGACTCCACGTTATTTATCTTAATATTGCCCGACAATATCATTTGTGTCGATGATCTCTTCTCGTCCAACGAGATAACTCTTTTTTGTTGAACTTTTTCAGCTGTATCAGACAATTGTGATAGAAGTGATATTCGACTGGCTAGTCCTTTTGATAGCTTTTTGAAGGGTTTAGTAAGTTAACCCAAAGGCTAAAACCTAGCTAGTACGCAGTAAGATCAATTGGTCCAATAGAAACAGCTGGGGACGACATGGTGCGCCGGCGACGGTAGCACGAGCCGCGAGCCGTTAACGACGTCCCTAATTAAAAGCTAATGTGGATCCGACTTCGCAACTAAGTTAGCAAGTAACCACGCCAGCTCCGCGGTGACTATCGATCGCAAATTAACTCGTGCACGCGCCAAACATTCTGACGCCACATTAACGACTTTCAAAACGTCCTGGCAGTAGGTCTTGTCAAAGTTGGCGCATAGTTCCCTGATGAATGGCAACCAACCTGCACAGACTCATGTTCTACGTAAGTAAGATTTGAGAATCTCCAGCTGAAACACATACATCAAAATATGACACACAATCAAGCAAATATAGTAAATAATGTATACCTACTACTATTTATTTGATATGATGAAGTTCCCGAATCGTGCAAAACACTGGGTAAGACATGGCCCGTGGCCAGACGCCATAAATCCTGATGTAATGAATACCGTTTTCACCGCCATAAAAACACTCCCACACTATTATGATACAGGCCCAGGGAAGCAACAGCCCAGGACTGTATTATCATACCGCAGCTTACGTTGCTACTCACTCCAGCTTCAAGTAGCACAAATTTAACTACAACAATATTGTAAATACCACAGTACCTACGAAACTGTGCGAAACGTAACTTCTGTCATTTACTTTTATAAATTACATTAGCAGTCTTTCTGTCCACCAATATTCTATTTCACGTTTTCAACATTATATTGTATTCATTTGTTTTTAACATATGTCGTCGTGGTGGCCCGGAGGTTAAGACGCCCGCTTCGCATGCACGAGGGTGCGGGTTCGAAACCTACCAACGGGAAGTACCAATGCTACATTTTCCGAGTTATATATACTATCTAAAATTATTTAGACACCACTGATAAACAGTGAAGGAAAAACATCGTGAAGAAACCTAGACCTGAATGCTCAAACCTTCTCCGTGTGAGAAGAGGCTTTGCTCAGCAGTGTGCATTTATAGGCTGATGATGATGATGATGATTTGTTTTTACCTGGAATTGTTGTTCTTTGCTAGAAACTAAACAAAAGAACAGAATCAGAGCCCAAATTATGTCATCAGGATGGCCTAATACTGACATAATAATGAGTATTTATTTGTACATACAAAGTATACAAATATGTAGTTTACAGATCGTAGCGCGTAGCACCTCGTAGCCATACTCCGTAGGCCTCGTCGCCTCGTAGCACTTAGCATTCATTGCCTTCAATGGAAGTGACCGCGAGTCTCCTCCCAACACGTCGCGTTCCCGTGACATCTACGCGAATACCGTATTGAAAATCTTCGCTGAAAACCCACAACACCGGCCGGGAGGTTAGTGAGTGTGTCGTGTAGGTAGGGGTAGATATGTAGGTATGTTCATGAATATTGATACTGCATCGTGAATATTCAGTGTGGCGACACTAGCAATTGAAAACATGCCGTAAAAGGTGCGCTGGTACTGCACACAGTGGTAGTAAAGATGACGCAAAATTTTGAGTAACATATTGTGAGACCACTGCGAGCCATATATTATGGGCCCTAAGGTGCAGCGTCTACTTTAAATACTGATTGGAAATATAACTATACAGTAGGCTGGCACTCGAACAGACACCAGGCTCACTGTACCTAGTACCTACAGACCTACACATAGGACGCGGCGGAGGGGCGCGGGCCGCGGCCGGGTGCTCGATGCGCGCACCAATTAATTATTTCTTGTGTCCTGACTTACGTTCGCCTCCGTCTTTGAATGTAGTGATTAATCAGGTTTTTTCCCTCTAGGGATAAATCTCGGCCGGATCAGTGCGGGGCCTGCTGTTATTTATGTACATCGTCGCCGGGACAGGCTTGCTGTTACAGGGACCACACCGCAACCAAGTCCTAAATACCGAGACTCATTTATTAAAATAACTACTATTTACATACACACAATGGTTTTAGTGTTTACGTGCAGTATAGTATGGTTTAAAAGCGTGGTTTTGTTTTTTATAGTACGAATTTATTTACGGTAATGGAGTTGTAATAGTAAGAAAATATGTTGTGTTACAGGCGAAGCAGCGAGCGCGCCCAGCCTGGCCGTGTCGTCGCCGGCCCGCACCGCGCCCGCGCCGCTCACCACTCCGGTACGTAACTGTTTCACGTTTAATTTTCTTGTTTTGCTTGCATTGTGTTTCGCCGTGTGAAGTTAACTGAGCTCGGGTGTCACACACCTCCTTAAGAGTAATGAGGGAGTGCGTTACGTGTACTGTGGCCGCTATAAACTTACACGAAAGATGACTGAAAGACAAGTACTTAAGTATACTTGTGACTAGTGGCCATATCTTACATAACTACATAATTATTGTCGTTCAAAAACCGAATGGCACAGTATTTCAAATACCAAACTGACAAAACATAAAGAAAATACTTCGGTTGTCTCACCTGTTACTAAGATGTACTCCAATCCCTTGCTCCGAGACCCCGCCGAGTCCCGCCGCAGTGGTTGGTAACTACAAGGGCTGTTTTAATTAAGCCACCGTAGTTTAATCAGCTCGTTCTTTTGTCGCATCACCTCAACTGTCACGCGCCACACCGGCCGATATCGCACCCCTTCAGTGAGTGTCGCTGGCTGTGTGCTGTTTGTGTTCACCTTAATTGTACGTTATCCGGCGAGTGCGGCCTTGAATACAATGCCGCGGCCCCTGGAGATGCGCACCGCGATACCCGGGACCAGGCCGCGGGCCGCGACCGGTTGAGTCGTCGCAGCCACGTATAAATACTTCGTGCTGGTTAGATGGACACTGGCTGCGAACGCCGTACATAATAAGCCTTATTTGTTGTACATCCATCCAAATACAAAATATGCGACAGTGAGTGGATAATAACGTTAAAACATAACTCCTACGACTTGCAGCTCACATACCCGGTGCAAAGAGTCCCAAAACACTTACATATTATTATTATAGTTTGTAGATATTCTAAGTTCCCATAAGAGAACACACGCTTACAAAGAAGAATGAAAATAATATTAGACTCGTAATATTGAATGTATTGTTGCGACAGGCGTGCAATGGGCCGGGCGCGTCGTGGACTTGGGGAGCGCGCGGCGTGGCGCCCGGCGGCGGCGCGGCGCCCGGCACCCGGGCGCTGGGCCGCTCGGCGTCGGCGACGCTGCGGGCGGCGCCGGCGCCCGACCTCAACGTAGACGCCATCAAGGAGAAGCTGCTGGATCATCGGATCCCGGAGAGCTGCGTGTAGTGCTCGCCCGACTGCTACAGACCTTACTGACTGGTGGCGCACTCTGTGTTAGTGAAACCGTGCCGTGTCGGACCCGATACAATGGACTCGAGTAGGTGTGTGTGTGACAGTGTGCGTGTGAGCCCGCCTACTGACGATGCGCACTGTAAATGTTGTAGCTAGATTATTTCTTCAATGTCATCTTTGGTATCATTCTGTGGTGACGGAGACAGGAGACGCGGCTTCAGCGCTTAGAATACACGAGTTCTGTGAGGCGACGTGCTAGTGTATGCTGTGGTGACGTATCAATGAGGACTAAATATAATTACAAACATGTAGGCAAGCAATGGCTTCCCAAGAACAAAACAATATTTACCTCTATTTGTAATGAGGGCTACTGCGCCTGAATGACCGCCATGGCCGCTTATGTAGCAAAAAGTAACCTAACTCTTTATTGTACATAATAATTTCTGCTACTTTGATTGTATGTAAAGAACCTTACGCTTCATTAACGCCATCTAGTGCGCACGAGAACAATAACCCTCATAACTATAATTTCCACAGCGTGCCATAAGATGTACCCAATTAACATAAAATAACATTATAACTGTCCAGTTGTCCAGCCCAAAAGCCAGTCCACGGCCCACGGTGTCGCCACGTACCGGTCGCGGTGTACCGTGCGATGTTGACAGAAGATATTGTTTCCATTAGCTTAATTTGTTATTTACAAAAATTTACAATATTGTCTGCAATTGTGAATTTATTTGTGTATATCCACAAGCTGATATTCTAAGCGCGTTTCCACGGAACTGTAAAGTTGATACACAAGTCACTAATTTTATTTAATATGAAATTGTACATAGTAATGTTTAAGCGACTGAGTCTTTGCCACTTTTTTACATGTCTACGAAAATAGATAATTTTACCAGATAATATAATAAATATGTACATGAACTACTATAGGTAAATCTATTCATCGTTATCTGTACAAAATTTGATTTGTGTAAATATAATGTTTGTACTCTCTAAGGTACTCAGCGGAGGTACAGGCCGGTGCCTCGGTGCCTCGGTGCCTCGCTGGACTTGTACTAACTCGACATATGTATGTAATGTCTGTGACCCGTGCCGCATCTTCTCGTCAAACTAATGATTCAGTCCACTCGTCGTCCATTGATCGAGTTGGTAACTATACAAAGGAACTACAAAACCATAAAATATCGCAATAGTGTGCTAGTGTGGGATGTCTAATAAACCATGTTTTTTTTTATATAATATTACAGATTAATTCTCCACGGACTCTAGGTCCGTGCCCTTGTCATACAATTAATAAACCATGTTGAGACTGTCTACTCTGGGCACAATCGAGGTGTTCTCGTGGTGCATCCCCATACTGTAGCTAAAAAACATGTACCTGTCTATAGGTACGTGATGCACGTGAGCAGCACATCCGCCGCTTCTAGACACATTATTACATTGACGATGACCTCACAGGATTACAGGACCATACTTTCTTATTGCCGTACAGTATTCGATCGCGTCCCTCGCCTTTTATACATATACATTACATACACTAGACTAGACCCGACAGACGTTGTCCTGCATATCCACTTGAATGTATAAACAAAAATTCATTCAAATTAGTTCAGCTGTTTAGGATAAATAACCTAAACATCGACTGCAGCGCCATCTGCCGGGCTGATTTGTGAATCTAAACCATTCCCAGATCCCCTTGAACACACACAAAAAATTTCATTAAAATCGGTCCAGTCGTTTGAGAGAAGTTCAGTGACATACACACTCACAGAAGAATTAGAGATAGGTAACCTTGTCTTTTGTTTATATGAAACCTGCACATATGTACATATAGTTTCAGAATACGGAATTGATCTATATGAATGTATTTTATATAAAAAAATTAAATTTCAGACCGTTGTTTCGTAGTTTGCACAATCAAAATAATAATGTTATGTACGTATTATTGTTATTAATATGTCATTAGCTGTCAGTAATGCCATAAGGTGTCGTGCCACGATGTTTCTAGTCTCTATTTGTTATACCTACTATTATGTATCTGTCTTTAAAGTAATCGATCAGACGAACTTTAAAATAAGTTTCTATATTAAAACATTTAAAAGCATACTGATACGCAGCTTGACATTATACTATGATAATGCAAACTAAACGTGTATACAAACTTACAGCGCAATCAGATGATGATATCAGCTTTAAAGATGCAAGATTCCACTTCCCATACACATACATTGCAAGTTAAATAAATAAAACTTGTGAAATTGTAGTCGTCACATTTACATGCATGAGAAGTGGTTCCAAAACATTTCGTACTTCGAGTAACTGTTTAGGATTCTGGGATGAGTTCACATTAGTTTGACGAGAATATTAGCAAGGTGGCAAGGTACAGCGATAAATGAACATATCTACACAACGGAACGTATCACAGTAATATCACTGAACGCTGTCATTCAGTACCAACAGACTGACATCCTCCACCTGTAGATAGTAATCACTAAGTAATGGTACGCTACTTGTAAGGAATGAGAGGGCCGCGGGGTCGCGGGGCGGGCGCCGCGCCCAGGCCGCGCGGCCCCGCGCCCGTACTGATTTGTTATAAAAAAATTAAAATAACTCAAAGAGTTTGCCCTACTGTTGACATTATTTATTTTGAACGAGATTAAAGGTTGTCTTGGAAATAATTATGTCTTTTTTTAACCCTTATTCCTGAATTGCTGCCGACCAAGTTGTGGAAGATAAACCTCAAAGATAAGACAATAAGTATGAGTACTGAAAGTGCCCACAACATAGGTACATATTATATCATTACTACCATTTATTATTAACCCACTGGAAGTTATAATGGTTTATGTATGAAGATGAAGGTAATAAACATAAGGCCATAAAACCATTGGATAAATTAACAAAACAAAATTAATCAAAGATTTTTTAGTAACATTGAATTGAGCAAAACCAAATTTAATAAAACTCATTGGCCTATTAAACTATACTTATTAATATAAATCAAATAAAGTTTATCTACATAAACACAGTAATCATGATGATGACAACGAAAAAAGTGAACAAAAATCGATAAACATTGTGCAACATGCCAAAACTATTTTTTTTTTTTACCTACCTACTATTTTCTTGTTCGTGTCTTTTGTAAGTGGTGTACAATAAAGTGTTTATTATTATTATTATTATTATTATTAAACGCTCCAAATTTTGGAAACCATTAAACACTAACTGTTCACTCGTAGTATTTAGTGCTGCAATTATTTTAAACAACACTTGATATTTTATTTATTTGAACCAGGTTAACCCATTGATATATCTTTTAATATAAAGTCTGTCCGTCCGTAGGTACCTACATACAGTACATTTACAAGTTAACACCGCATCCACTAAGTAGACAATTAGTAAGTACCGCTTACTGTATTAATTCATTTTAACAATAATTTTATAAAATTGATAGAAACTTAGTAATATTAATCTTAAACTCGGTATAAAATTAAATTTACTTACATTCAGAAATAAGAATTTATAATAAGAGGAAATTAATTGAATTAGAAACTAAAGTATTATAGTCATGTAACTAATTACACCAAAATAATAATAACAATAAACAATGTAGGCCGGCAGGCAGCAGGTTCGTACGGTCCATGTTTAATTATATTCTATATAGGTACCTAGATATACGTTATCCATACATACTTAGGTACATAACCTCACGCCTGTCTCCATCATAATGCTTGTAAAGCAGTGATGTGCTCGACGCATATTTCAGAACTGATTATACAAACCGGATAAGTGCGAGTCCGGATATGGACCGTTTAAAACAAGTTGTTGTGGCGGTAATTAAAGGACATCATCTAACCTTTCAATTGTCTGTCACGGTTCATGAGATACAACCTGGTGACAGAATCCTTTCGGTACGGAACCCTAATAACGAACACTTACACAGCGCTATCTAGCGGGCAATTCGAATACTTATATCAAATCACGCCACACGGATCAGCTTACGTAGTGGGAGAGCCGATCCTGACTACGCTACTAGGTGGCGGTTTATTCCATTTTAACCATTATGGCTATATGAGGGCAGATACTTCTACATAATTATACGAGTATAATGTTGAATGTTGTGAAATGATATAATTTATTTTTAATAATTAAATCGCTTCCCTAAAATGTATTTTAAAAATGTTAAATAAATGTTATGAGAGTTCGGCGCCAACCGGATTACGGACGACGTACTTTTTACTAAATGATACATCAAACCTATTTATACCGATATGCAATCAATTAGCAACTTTTGACTAAGTAAGTCTTACGCCAATGTACGGATGCAGTCAGTAGTTACAATTTGACGGGGGCCAGAATAGTATATTAATAAAAAAATGAAAATGGACCGACTACAAAACTGCACGGTTGACGCGGTGGCTGGGCAACCAGCTGCCGCGCAACGTGTAGCGGGTTCGATTCCCGCACAGAGCAATTCTTTGAATGATCCACAAACTCGTGTTTCGGGTCTGAGTGTGATGTGAATTTGTATGTTTGTAAACGCACCCAACATACAAGAAAAAAATGATACGTGTAAAAATGTACAATGAAACTAACTAATGTTATATATAATATCTGGGTTAAAGTAGCGTTTGCAGTACACGTAGGATTTACAACGAGGGCTGCACGCACGACGCAGGCGGAGCACGACGCTGCACCCTACGCGTGCTGACAGCTACTCGTTATCAACGTGTGACACTGACAACTTTGTCATTTATCGACGTCTTACGGACTAAGAACAACAATTTGTGGATCTAACTTACCTCGAGTCCAGTCACGCCACGAAGCACAGCAACTACCTAGTCACCCAGCTGTTGATATAGCCGCGAGGAAATTTTACAAATTCCACACAAGTGATGTCAACTTACTAGCGCAAGTTAACATTTCATAAAACATCGATGATAATATATGTATACCTACCTACACAATACACATACTCATTATAAACAGTAGGAAACATTGAACTTAAAATCGTGCTCGCGGTATACTGATCGTAGTTAAATAATAATTTCGAAAACCAGTGTAGTATCGTTCCTTTAGGGGAAAAATATTCGCGCCATAAGTCTTTACAGGCGTGCACTAGCCATAACAGGAAGACCAGTAGCAGTATATTGGGTAGCACGCGATAGTGCGCACGCGCCGCCGCCGCTATGGGCCGCGCTACGCTCCCCGCGCTGGCGCTGCTGCTGCTGGCTGCCGTCCCTGCCGTCCCTGCCGTCCCTGCCGTCCCTGCCGGGGATGTGCCTCCCGCCTGCGCTAAACTAAATAGTTTCAACATCGACAAAGGTGACCCAGCGATTGTTTCTCTTTCTTCCCATACTTCCATGTTATGTAGTTGCTTCATGCACTACTACGTGGCTACAGAATACTCTTTAATTGTCAACATTCTGTTGTTATCAGCACATTAATTTAGTAAACAGGTAAAAACTAAAGATTGACTGAGCCGATCAACGGTTACAAAAGGTTCGGTTTACGTTAATGAATGTTATTTTCTTACTTGCACAGCAAATACTTCTGCCACAAGCACGAGTCTGCCTAAAGCCTAAGTTACGACAATGTTCCCCTTAGATCGTGACTAAAATAAAATTCAGTATTTTACAAAGACAAAACAAATCAATTATAAATAATTAAAATATTAAAATCCTTCAAAATAAAATAATAATTAAGTAAATATTAAGGTACGTGTTTAAGTTAATAGTTCGATCGTTAGCCCGTCGTGTGTCTATACGTGGACGCACGCGGGTCACAATGTATCTTCTATTGTGTCTCATATCAGTGCATTCACGCGGTTAATTACTCACAAGTTAGTCTTGGACTAGCTAATCCCGGACTAACAAAGAATTAACTTCATAATTGAATCCCTATTAATAAAAATGGAGTAACTTCGTAGTAACCATACCATCCTTACACTGGATTTAACGCGTTCATTGTGGTAACCCAGAAATTTTAAAAGTAATTAAGACTGAGAAGGAGGTATGAATTCCTATGAAACGTATGAAATCTCTGCATTATTTACAAATATATGTTACTTGACATCGTGACAAGTATTATTATGACCTTGGATACGCCTCGATAGGTAGATCGGCAGATCGCGGCGTCACAGATCAAAACTTCGCCCGGATTATTTGCGATACCATTTTGATGGATGCCCAAAACGAAATCGCCTATATGCGGTTCATTATAAACAGCTAAGAGACCGCTAGATTATGAAAAAATCCCAAAGTGTGTATCGTAATCACATGATCATTGGCTCTACAAAGGACCCTTTAAAAAATCGTGCCGCTTGCTCTACTTTTACGTGTAGTGGGAATATTTTTTTCCAAAATATTAAAATAGCCAATTCTCTAAACTCCCCGGAAACCTTACTAAGTAACTCCCATATTTCTTCCTTCACGATCGAACTATATTAATATAGTTCTACTATATAAATAATAATTATATTCTAATTTAAGTACGTAGGTACCTGTCAGTGTAATAATATACCAGGTACCTAATGCGGAGTGGGCAGCTGTCTTTGTTTAGTGCGCAGGATTGTGAGTCCCGTTGGAGTATAGTTAACAATTAGTAACGCTATGGAATAATAACACTCATGAGCAAATATTTTCCTTATACCTACATACGATTACAGATCATGGTCGTTTATTGTACCGTACGTACTTACTTGACCGGCGTGCTACAAATTCTAATAATATATCAGGGCAGAGGAGGTCTGACAAGTTTCCGTCCTTTTTCGAAATGTTTATTCCTCTGGTAGTTCTACATACTTCTCAGCGCGCGGTGCTGCCATCTCTCTAAACTGTTCCAACAGAATGTTGAAAAGGTTTATTTGAATGAAATTTTGTTTTAAATTTAATATAAGAAAATGTCACATGAAATGTAGACAGCTTTCTCATGCGTTAATATTGATCGAATATGACGTGACAATCATGAGAGCTAGTGTAAGTGTGAGGTTGTGTGACAGAATTGCACAAGGGCAGTCTGCGCGAGGGCGGCACGGTGCGGCCCCTGCACCTGTACTGGGGCAGCGCGGCCGGGCGCGCCGCCGCCGCGCTGCTGCTGGTGCTGCTGCGGCACCTGCGCGGCTACGACTCGCTGTGGCTCGTGCCGGGCCCGCTGTCCACCACGCAACTTGCGCGCCTTGTCCCGCATCAACCTGACCACAGATACAAATCGTACGTAGTAAAGTTCGTTATTATAATAACTATCGTGACTCATAAATTAACTGAAAAACCTACTAGTAGGCAGTAGGCCGCAACCGCACACGCTGCTTATGTGGAAGAGCCCCTCTTTGGTTTGAAACTAGTAGAGCTTGTCTCAGTATATTCACGAGAGTAACTCGCGATTTTTAGTTATTAAGTTCATTGGGTAGTTTTAACCGACTTAAAAAAAGAGGTTCTCAGTTTGACCTGCATGTATTTATGTATGTGTGTATGTATGTTTGTAAGTATGTATTTATGTACGTTTGCATGTATGTATTTATGTATGTTTGTGCGCGATTGGTTGCGATTGCCTTAACTGATTTCGATGTGGTTTTCAATAAGTTTTTTTCATAATCACCGTTGATTATAAGTACCTATCTACAACTTGGCTATTGCACTTTTTTTCTGAAGAACACAAGGGTCTTCCGCTAATCCCGTTGACCTGTTTTTTTTTTTCTTCTAACACCCTCAATATGTTTAGTTACACCGTATGTCAAATTGAAATGGTCGACGGAAGGGGTCATCTGCTAGACCTTTAAACCCTTTAACACGCCCCCCATGACCTGTATATTTTTTATCGACCTTTTATTGTTTTACCAAAAAAAAAAACATTTTACATTCAATAGACGAAGAGTTTTCATTTAATTTTGATGTGTATTTTTCGGGAGTACTTTTTTACTTACAAAAGAAATTAGTTAGAATCTTATGAAACTTTGAGCAAACAGGCAGTTGTAAACCATTCTTCTAAAAAGCAAAAGACTCTGACTCTTCCCTGTATCTACATACAGGAATCATGCAAATTTGTAGCGACGCGAAGGTACTCAAACCCGCTTTCAATTAAGACACCGTTTAAGACTAAATTTACCAAATTCACGTTTAAAAATGCACTCCACAAGTCCTTAAGCAACTAGCTTCACTTCTAAATTTTTATTGTTGACGTTCAAAAGTGCCTTCCTGGTCTAATTGAAATAAATGACTTTAGACTTTGACATTTTGGAATTACTTTTCCTTTAATGACCTCCCAAATCCCTAAAAAATTATGTAGGTCCATGCGCCAAACATCCTGTATAATCAAAGATAATAACCTTCTTCTGCCTTAACTATGAGGATAGATAATACTTTAAAAACAGTGTGCACACAGTACATTTATCCGCACATACTGTGTTCGAGTATGGTTCACAGTTTCACAGGTTTGGAATACCTACGAGGAAAATATAAATCGGTTAGAAAACATATTTTACTTACTTAGGTACGTAATCATGTTTTCGAACAGTATGTCAGTATAGGACTGGTATGATATGAGATCAGTATACCTTCAAAATGTCTATGTGGGGTTAAAATTTTCGATTCCAGATGGGTGATAGCTTTGTCAACTGCATGGGTGCCTGAGCCCGCACAGCCGTGGGAAGAGGGAAAAGGATCAAATGGTGGTCTCGCTGGGCCACGCCTGGCCGAGTTTGGTGTGAGCCCCGTGTCTGCGCGGCGCCGCCTGTTCGTGTGGCTCGCTCCACACGTACGAACTTTCAGCGAGTGCATGACCATGGAATGGCCATTCGATGTTGACGAAACTACGCGTCTACGTTGTGGTTTCATCGATCCAAGAGTTCCACGGTAAATGGCAGATAATTATGTTATTGAAATCATAATAAAATAAACGACAACAACAATTCAATATGATAATTAACTAATGGTTTAATTTCAGTGGCAACAGGACACAAGTAGAAGTACTCAGTATGGACAACAATGTCACACTGAATCAGTTACTGGAACGGGCGCACGCCGCTAAATCTCCGTTGCTAGCACGCGATGTTAACTACACCGTCTTCTTCGACACACTGAGGACTGCTAATCACTCATTTTTATTCCTGGACTATGACATTTGGTCAGGAGAACCAGGTGTACGAGCAATAGAACCACCTCCTTGCGTGCATGAAGGTTCTAAAAATTGTAATGAAGAACTAGATACCGCCATAAGTTTGCGCGTCGCCGATGTTGAAAAACTACAAGTATACGCGCCTATGTTATTTAAATTCGTACATGACTTTGATCCAAAACCTGAAGCTCTGCGCTACATCCTCGAAGAAGAAGCACGTGGCACAAATATTGAAGCGGCTGCTTGTGCCTGGGTCGATCGTCACAAAGTACATTATTGCAATCACGACGCCAAAAAGAAATATGACATTATTAATTACGAAGTGGCTTTGTATGTGTGCGTTTATTCCACATCATTATATGACCCTTCTTATGACGAAATAGCAAAGGATATTATCAATACTTTCAATTATGAAAAAAATACGAATATTTCAATAAGAAGATTTTTTGTAAATTGTTCTGACACATACAATATGAGCAAAAAATTAACAGACTTGATGGACACGATGATGTCGTACCGCATGCTGGGCGTGGTGTCCATGGCAACGGGCAAAGGAGCGTTGGAAGCGTCTACAGTGGCTGCGGCAAAGAACGTACCGCTGCTGTTGGTGGACGTGGTGCCGGACGACAGCAGCGCAGAGGCCGGCGGCACCACATGGCGGGTGTCGGGCAGTCCGCGCCACCTGGCGCGAGCTCTCGCCCACTTCATACTGGCCGCGGGCTGGACGCGCCTCGCCGTGCTTTCTGAGGACACATTGCTAGCTCGCCAGTACAATGCCGCAGTCAAACTAAACACGACAATAGTTTCTCACGAGTTTCAAATTCACACTCACTTAACCGATAATGATACAGACAGTATATTAGACGCTCTCCGCACTACAAATGCACGTGTTATTTTTATAAACGCAATCTTTAAGGCTGCCACCTCAATACTGAAGGCGGCAGTGAAACGCAACATGACGTTTTCCAACGGCTTCGTTTGGATAATGCGTGACTGGGAACAAAACAATGAAACCGTGTGCGATAATGAGAAACACTTCACAGTATCATTTTGGAGCCATTCTACTTCAAATAACATTATAGTCTCCTATCCTGACAAGCCTATAATCCGTCAAATGCATAAAATTCTCAAGAAATATAAAACGTTACCTCGGGCCGCTGCATTCATAAATGCACATCTCACTCTCGTAATGGGTTTCAAAGATCTCAATCAGCAATTTAGTGTGAGTCAGGACCTCCGCAGTGCTTATGTTATCAGGTGAGAAGTTCTACTTACGCTCATGCACTATTTTCCCATTTTTAAAATCGGTCCACAATTGGCTGAGTTATATATAATAAAAAAACAACGTCAGAATATAGCACACCCTCCAAATCGATAAGAATCACACACGACCCGAAGTACAACCCAACATTCCACTTTAATTACTACAGCTAGCTTTTCCTCGCGGTTTTAATTATATATACAGGGTGTCCCTGAAATCGACGATCAAATGGCACCAAGTGATCGGCAACGTTCCAACAGTTATCAGTAAAATACAAAAAAAATTTCAAGTCATATAGTTTTTAAATTACAATGCCTTATGTCTTATCCAAGAAAAAGTACACTCTGTGCCGGTCTTTTGACTCTTGTTGCTACATTTTTTTATTTTTTCGTCTGTATTTTTGCTTGCGCTGTCCTGAGTAGTGCTCCAGTATTATGGAATCATAAATTCTGTGCCAACTGCTCTAGTTTGGAACAGAATGTCGCTTTTTGACGAACCAAGTCGTCCTAATTAATTTTTCACCTAGCTTTAAGTAACTGTACAGTAAAAAATTGTACTGTACTTCTAGTAGTGGCACCACCATCTCACCAAAGTTGGAGAATTTAATAAAGATTAAAGTAACCTTACAGTATTTCCTAAATTCCAAATAAATTTTTTTTTTCATCGAAACAATTTATTTGGGCTTACTAAAACATATTGTAGTGTATCAAAGCGCATCTAAACTTCTCGAATGCACTAAGTAACACTTTGCACGCGACACGACATCATCACGTTGCTAAACATGTTGGAAATCAGCGAGGATCCCTCGTTAAACCATATTGTCTGTCTACTCATGATTCATTCGCAGCATTTATTAAGTGTGCCAACTTTGGTGAGATTTGCCACTACTAGTATAGGACCTACAATGTTTTTTCAGTACAGTCACTTAAAGTTAGTTGAAAAATTTACTAAGAACATTTGGTTCATCAAAAAACGACACGAAAGGACAAAAAAGGACACTCTGTATATAAAAGGCTTTGTCCTGAACTGAATATCTAGGAATCACGCTCGAGCCCAAACCGCTCATCGGAATAATCTGAAACTTTGAGGGTGCATTTTTCGAAATTCGACCCCTATAGGGGGGTCTCACAATACCCCCTTAGGGGTCGAATCAATAGTCAATCTCACAATACATCAAAACTAAAGTACTGACTTTATTGAAATTTAGTATCATGCAAAGAAATAGGTCTTACAAAAGGGGATAAGTCAAAAAATCTAAATTCTGTCTGATGTGATTAATGCGCGAACGAAGTCGCGGGCAAAGCTAGTATTACTTTTATTTTTTAAACGTTGCCCCACATTAGGATTTTTTCCTGTATCGTGGGTGCGTTTACAAATATAAAAGTTCACATACACAATGATACCCACACCCAGACAACAATTTGTGGATCACACAAAGTGTAGTTCCGTGCGGGAATCAAACCCGCGACACGTTGCACGGCAGCCGGTTGCCCAGCCACCGCACCAACCGTGCAGTCGAACTATATAAATATGCGACTAAACCGTATAGTTGTCAAGTATAATACAAGCACGGTAATAATTACCGCGATACAAGTTGGTTATACATGCATTCAGAGTTAAAACCGTCATGCAATAATTCCCGGCACTACATTTTACCGTACTGGGAGGAAGTGCGAGCGTTTTCTTATTCTTACACTAATTAATTAATTTACACATTGACATTAGGTTCTGCACCACCGCGTCAAAATCTGACCATCGTTCGCGCCAAGAACTATACCATTAGTGTCCTAGTACAGATAGATAACAAACAAGTGCATAGTTTTACGTACAACTTTGTTAATTTGTTTATTGTATAGGCTGGCAAACGAGTACATCTCATTGCGGCGGGTTACCTGATGATAAGCAAACGACGCCTGCCCGGACACCTGAAACACCAGTGTAGAGTTCGGAATTTGAGGTTTTATATTTTAATTATATTTCACTGTTACAGGTCGTTTAATGAAAGTCTAATGAAGTCGCCGGTCACAGGTGTTCCTCACCGTCACCCACTGCGCTATAGGAACCGGGTGCTCGAGGACACGTATGTGTACATCGAGGAGTGGTGCGGCGGTCAGGCTACGCGGGGGCTAGCCACGTGGCGCGTCAACATCACCAGCGGCGCCATAAGCGAATGGAACGCCAGTACGACCGCGCGGCTCGTGCTGCCCGACGACATGCCGCACGACGACGGCACCTCCAGATGCAGGATAAGCTCCGGCGACCCTTTCGAGCCCACGTGCTACGATGCTGTAGTCGCTTGCGTGCTGCTACTGCTGCCGCTGGCGCTTGTCGCGGTGCTGCTAGCGCGTCGACGGCTAGCGCGTCTAGCGCACGAGCAACAAATCCGTGCCATCGCTCGGCGTCAGCGCGTGGCCACGGTACTGGCCGATTATCTGGTGGAGCGCGACACGCTGGAGCTGCACTCGGAACTCGGAGCAGGACGATTCGGAAGCGTCCGCTTAGCACGGTTATGCAGACCTGGACGCAATCCACGATATGTTGCCGCGAAAGCTCTGCGGGACAACGCCGCGCCCGCTGATGAAAGTGAATTCTTACGTGAAGCTTGTATGATTGCTTCTCTCGACCACGCGCATATTGTTCGCCTGGTCGGTGTGTGCATCGCGGATGGACCTCCACTGGTACTTATGGAGTTAGCATTCTTTGGCGATTTGTTGGGTTATTTGCGTGCGCGTCGCCACCTAGTGGACGGAACAGCGTTAGAAGAATCGGCGGAGAGTGATGAGGCAGAGCACGTATCTGCTGAAACTCTAACGCGACTAGCTCGCGAGGCCGCCGAGGCGTTGCAGTACTTAGAAGTCCGCGGCGTCGTACACCGCGACGTACGCGCTGCCAACTGCCTAGTGGATAAGCGGCGCTCGCTTAAGCTTGCGGACTTCGGCATGGCGCGGGATACGGTGGCTGGAGCAGACGGTGCATCCGAGTACTCGTGCCGGCGCAGGGGTCTATTCCCCGTTCTATGGATGGCACCCGAAAGCCTCGCACACGGTGTCTTTTCGGCTGCATCGGATGTGTGGGGCTTCGGTGTGCTAGTGCTAGAGTTGGTGACCCTGGGTGCGAGACCTTACGGCGCCATGTCTCCGCTTCGCGTGCTGGAGTACGTCGCGGCTGGAGGGTCTCCACCATTACCACTGGATGCCACGCAACAAACGTAAGTTTCTCAATGTAGACGTGTAGATATATTAGCTGAGCCTGTGCTTAGTTTGCTGTAACCGCAGGCGCGGGCTGACGCAGCTGTGCTGGCAGCGTACGGCCGAGCGGCGGCCGAGTGCAGCGGAACTGGCGGCGTACTTGGCGGCGTGGCCGCGGGCGCTGCATCCAGTGCTGACGGACGAGCGTGATGCCGACAGCGGCTTTGGAGAGTCTCCGTCTACAGAGCTGCTACCTCCTGAGTCTCCAGCAGACACTCACGATCAGCTCGAGGTCTTAGCTGCGACTCACTGAAGGTAACACTTTACAAAGATTTATCAGATATCTAGCAGAATCAACTCTCTATACTAACTCTCTCTAGTCGCGGAGAACCTACCGGGTAACCGGGGCTCCGGCTCGACGTGCAAGAGTAGGAACGGGGTGGTTTTTAGTCAGTAAGAGTCTGACACTCCCTCCCACCTCACCCCAGGCGGGAGCAGTCATTCGATGATTTTCCGACTTAAAAAGATAATAAAATAATACTAACTCTCTCCAATGCCTTGTTCGCACGACGCTAGTAAATCCTAAATAAAAATATATAAATACTCACATATAAAAACTTACATAAGAAAATAATAGGTTCAAAGACTTCGAGTTCCATACAATTTTAAAGTATATTATAAATACCTTCCCACAATTTACTTTAAAGACTACATAAGTACATGCAGACTGCAGTCAAACATAAGTGACATTATTGTAAGTGGTATTTAAATAATAATAATAAGTTGGTTGCGCAATTTCAGTCGAAGCTAAATTATAACTTTTAGAGTATGCAGATGTTTAAAAAGTTTTGATATCTTTAATATAATATAAAGCCAAGTTGACGGAAGGCTCTGCTCACTATGTCGTCCATGTGTAAACTAAAAGATAATTTTGAATCCATAATTAGAGGTATACTTAAGTCACGCACAGCCGTTTTCCGACTTATAGATTTATTGTTGATCCTGTAATCAAAATTTAGAGGATTATGTTTACGGGTATAGGATATAATAGAACACTTACCAAGATCTAAATACAGATAATAAGCAATATTCAAATAAACGGTCTAGGTCACACTGCAGTTCCTAAAAATCGCCATAACATGTTACTGTCTTAAAATTGTATGACTTTATCAATGTCGTTAATATAAAATAAAAAGTTGTGGTCCCGTATGGGATGCTTGAGGAATTCCTGAAAGCATTTCTAGGAATCTAGACACATATCCCTCATAGAAATTCCTTGGGATCGGTTCCTGATGTACGAGTTTATCCAGCGGAGTAGATCGCCATGTATACCTATAGTCCATGCTTCGTCACTTGAGATACGAATGACCTTATGCCCGGGCCATACGAACGAGAAATGCTATTGCTTATCGCGATAATTTGACAACGGCATTCACATTGCCGTTTGGCACCCACTTTATCGCGTTAAATTAACGCAATAATTATCGTAGTAAACATCGCGATATTCGACATTGAGGTTGACGTTAGTGTGGCGCCGGCATTAGAAGTATTCGGTTTACGCATAAATATTTTACAATCGGATCGCGGAGTATTAAATTTAAAACAATGTTGTTCTTATAATTCCTGTGCGTTTGTTAGCCGGTGTTAGGTGATCGCTAATATAAATGTTGACTGCAGGACCCAATAATCCGATGTCCGAGGTTGTTAGAACACGCCGCGCGCGCACCACGGCTAACAGCTGATCATCACAACGCTGCCTAGTGTAGCGTAAAATAATAACCGGTGGTCGGGTAGACGCATTTTTCTCCTCGAACGGTGAATATAATTAATGTGAATATAATTAATGTCGATCATCTCCAAACTCGAACCTACTTTTCCGTGAATGCTAGTTAATGTTGTTTTCTCCTTTATGAAATAGAACACCAGATATCTCCAAGTCATTTAATCTAGCATATTGGTCTCGATCATCATTGTCCTTTTTTAATTGAGTGTTGACGTTACGAAGTTCCTTGGTGGTATTGTTAGCCACGTCAAGATCTTTCTGTAACACACTGATTTGAGACGTAACCACTTCCAGATCTTCAAGACGTCCTTCCATTGGCCCCAATCGTGTAATCACGTCCTTCCAATAAGTAACTAGTTCTTGAACCGTTAGTTTCATGCCGCTGACGTCCAATTTCATCGCATCAAAATCGCTACGAAATTCCTTTAATTCCTTCAGAACATCAGCTAAACTGGGAACGTTTAGCGAATTAGTTTGACGGCATCCAACGCAACGTCAATTATACCTCTTTTCAGAGTCATCTTGCGATATGTAGTTTCTGATAGACCGGAACATCCAAAATGTAGAAGAGCACTACACTGACCACACAGAACTCCATCAGACACCTCGTCGTTACATTTAGCACAAACACTCATTGTTATTATTGTGTCCAAGTACCGTAATCAGTAACAATCGACGGTGGATATTTGCTACACAATAATAATTCGTAATCGGTGGACACGAGTGTTGACACGTGACTGACTGACTGACTGATTGACTTCTATTTTGGGACAGAAGCGAGAGAGAACTCCTGAATAATCGCTACTCGACTAAAATACTAGCGTTGTGTGAATAAGACATAACTCTAAGTTTTCACTTACTTCATAAACTCATTTATTTCAATTAAACCAGGAAGGCACTTTTGAATATCAACAAAAAGTTTAAAAGTGAAGCTACTTGCTCATTCCAAGATGTAGATTCCTAGTTGCTATACGATAAGCTGCTATGAGAATAACTAAGGTACACTAGTCTTGCCGTACCTATGTCGGTCAACTGTCAGATTTTCCAGACAGCATAAGCTGCAGAGCTTAATCGCCCCCCGCTAGAGATATAGGTTTAAAGAAACTTTACTTTTGCTGTAATGTAGAAGCCCTATTGTAATTCGTCGTAATAATTAGTTTAAAAAGTAGTTTATTTTACGAATTCCGCAGGACGTCCAAAACTGACCACAGGCCTCCCCAATAATGACATTGGAAGCAACCTGCATCCAGGCCAGCGCTCCCTGCGACATGCACGTGGCCTCTGTTTGCAAACTGGTCTACCCTATCGGCCATCACGCGTCGTTGGTTCTCCAAGCTACAGTTAATTTTTACGGCATTCCTTATATTTTCATCATTCTATCTACGAAGTATAAATACAGTACGGCGTAGAACTTATTTAAAAAAATGCCTCCTGTTTGGACCTTACACTAAATTTCTAACTTTATATTTTTATACTTAATAGCTCAGCGTTTGACCGCTATCTCGCCTGGTGGTAAGCGATGATGCGGGCTACGATGGAGCACGTCGTCCCATAAGCAACCTATTCACTCGGGCCTTGAAGACACCCACAAGGAAGCTTGATGCGAAACGTTTCGTGCGTGTGGGTGGGACATCTACCATGAATCGGTGACGATTCGTCGATTTACTTGTGGTACGATGACGGAAAGGACTAGGAGGAATCAAGTTGTGCAATTCCCCCGCAAACTCACCGAAATGAATTCGGTAGAAAACCGAAAGGCTTGCAACCTTACGCCTGTTTTCGAGGCTTTGAAGCCGAGCCTCCACAAGCGCATCACCGTTGATGAGCCTCTTGACACCTATAAGGTACCTATTCATTCGAAACTTGAAGACACCCAGGTTCTACTCTTCTGGAAATACAGACTCTGGCAAAGAATTCCACTACTTAGCGGTTCGCACAGTAATACTCGAAGCGGAACGTTTGGTGCGAGTGGATGGAATACCTACCATATATCGGTGTCGTTTTACTGTTTGTCTGGTACTGCGATGTGAAATGGACTCGAAGGAATTAATTTGTATAATTCCTCCGCATACTCCCCGGTAAACAACAGAAAGCAATTTATCATTGATAAGCCTCTTGAGCACTTCTCGATGGACACAAGGGCTTCAGCTGACGATTCCGCCGGACGTTACTCCCCTACGGACATGGGTCACTCAGACTCCGTCTCTTCTATCTGTCTCTGATCCATGATCTTAGGATTAAGTGCAAATAAATGCTGTGAGTTATGTACATACATTACGTATCCCTAAAACATGTAAGCATGTTATTGTAAGTTACCGTTAGATAATTATAAGTACCTCTATACATAGTCTGACTGTTTACTGTTCCTGTTGTGGCGACGCATGCCACATGTCAACGGATGACGTCACAAGAATCCTACATCGCACATGCAAAGTTTACAAGCGAATAAACACGGATAGAAAATCCCAACGATCAACTGTTGGGCAGAAAGCCCGCCAGGCACGATCACCTCGCCTGGTCGGAGGATCCTCTTTTTCCGATCTTAGGGAACTATACTCTCTGTTCCCTAAAGTGGTGACCCCGACGTGATTGGAAGCAACCTTCACTTCACGGAGCAGATCAGCATCATCCGTATCGCCATCCCTCTCATTCATCACTTCGCCGCTGAGCGGTAATCAAGTCGCAGCCAACCAGCATCCTCGGCCTCATCAGGGACCACCATCGCCTGCAACGAAGTCGTGCAGCCTGGTTCTTCCCTGCGGCCTCACCAGCGTCTAGGCACAGCACTTCTGCACACGGTTCTGAAGGACATCTCCTCCCGTCAACGCAGACGCCAGCCACTACGCACCTACCCTCGCAGCATCTCTTCCCCGACTCACCGTGGGACACTGCGAGCTCATCTCTCCGACTCACTGGAGTTTAACCCTGCACCGCTCACCCGACTCACTGGGCAGTCAGCGGCACTGTTCCGACTCACTGGAACTAGGGGCTTTCTATACTGGTTCTGGCACTGCTCATCTCAAGCATCGACAGCCGTCTCAGCGGGATCGACCTCCGGTCTTGGGAGGGAGTGATGTGGCGACGCATGCCACATGTCAACGGATGACGTCACAAGAATCCTATCCATCGCACATGCAAAGTTTACAAGCGAATAAACACGGATAGAAAATCCCAACGAACAACTGTTGGGCAGAAAGCCCGCCAGGCACGATCACCTCGCCTGGTCGGAGGATCCTCCTTTTCCGATCTTAGGGAACTATACTCTCTGTTCCCTAAACTGTTAATAAAAAAACACAAAATGTTTTATTGTTGCAAATTATTTATAACTCCACTATACAATACACAAAAAATTTCAATATTATCTAGTTCAATATCGATTTATAAAAATCCACTTATTTACCTAGAACATCATTATGGCACACATGGTATTCATAAAATAATGTGTTTTTAGGAAGCAATAAATACCTACCATTTCAATATTTTCAATGATTACATTCCAATCACATTAATTCCAACAAATACGCGAATGGAAAAAGTGTCTAAGCTATACACACACAAATAAACAATTATTTAAAACAGTAAATAGAGGTAATTCACTGAAAGCAAAGCAACTCTTTTACTAAAGCTTAAAGAAGATTTGTGAAAGAACTGACTGAGAATGCAACATCGCGAGTGGCGACAGGACGGTGCGAGTGGTCTCAGGCGCAGGCGCGCGGCCACCATGTATCGCCGAGGCCGCGGCCGCGCGTGTTTACAAACTCGTGCGGCGCGCGGCGGCGCGTGGGACTGCGCACCGGCCACTGCCGCCACTGGGAACCCGCACCGACACCTTACTGTCCGCTAACATTACCTACCCTTACACTGCAATCAGTGTATGACTCAGTTCAGTCAGAAGTTAAAGCACAGTATACTATGGTTAAAGGCTCACATTATCTGTAAAGAGGTCAATTCTGTACATATTTTAAAATGTTTGTCTCTCTGTCTGTCTGTATAACCGTCATAGAAACAAGAACTGCTCGACGGATTTTAACGAAACTCGGTATGTGATCATTTTTCATACTCTTGAGCTGGTTATAGTACCTCTATATTTTTAATCACGCTACAATTAATAGGAGCAGAGCAGTAAAGGGAAATGTTTTTATAATAACTATCGTGAGACATACTCAATTACCTAAAAATCGCGGGTTACTCACGTGAATATACTGAGAAAAGCTCTACTAGTTTCGAACCACAGAGGAGTTCCTCTTCATGAGCAGCGTGCGCGGTCGCGGCGATGGCAGTAGGCTGCTAATATGGTCTGGAGAAACACTTACGTACTAAATATTAATTAATCTGTGGTAACATACACGATTTTTCTCGTTGGGAAGGCGGAAACGTGTAGTATTAAACAGGTTACAACTCAGAGGGACTTTATTTTGATTTAATGTGACACTTTCATGTCGGACTTAGGATTCTAATAAATTATTTCAATTACCTGTATACAAAAACAGTACAAAGTGTGTCTGTTAGTACATACATCCAATGTATTTAATTAACTCGGGGACAATAGGGTTCTCTTATCTCCACGTTCATAAGGAAACCTGACTTTAGTATGTACAGTTAATACATCGTATAAACAGAAACATTTGAAACAAATTATACAAAAATATTGTTTGTAAGTGTTAAACGGTTTCATTGCCCTCTATTCAGCCAATCAAGCCCTTCCGTTTGATATCGATGTAAATAGTTGGAGGAAAACATTTCAACATAAAATACTATGAAGTATTGTGCGTGTGGTCACCAAGTACAGATCGATCTGTCGTCAGGAAGGAGGTCAAATTCTAATTACCACAGACCCGAACAAACAAACAGACCGAGCTAAATTAAACCGTTTGGTTAAAAATCGTTCAAGATTAATTTATCTGTATGTTACTAGTAAATTTTCAGCAAAAATGCTTATTTGTGGAATGAATGGACGCATTTCTATGAAACTTTTCTTTCAAGTGTAGGTAAATGAGACACGGTAAGATTTATATTTCCTTTAATAATCTCTATCGATATACACGAGATATTCGAATATTAATATATTATGTAATCATAATGTGGCCGCTATATGCACACATGTGAGGCAGCCATTGCATGCTTGAATATGATATAACTCCTTCCGAATATGATTGGTAGCAGTAAGCAGGAGGCGGCGACAGGCGGCGATAGGCGGCAACAGGCGGCCAGCTAATACACCTCGACGCTCTCTTGGTGGTGCACGGTGTCTTGCCGGAACATTTCCACGTCCGCCTGGCTGTCCGCGTGGATCATCTTGACGCGTCCCTCCTGTGGACCGACTCAGCGTTCAAACATACTTATTGTTTATTATACTAATGCTCAAGTACTACTTGACGCAGTTCATTTGTCTCAAAACATAGTTTCAAGATCAATAACAATATCTATTATACTTTATAATCCCGTATGAACATTAGAAGCCTCTTTAGTTTGTCAGGTTGATAATAAAAAATATTAGACACGTATTTTTAGTTGGGCGTTTATGAAAACAAAACCCTAAATAAAATAATTACGTTTAGGATTGAGGTAGCTACGTCACTGCTCAGTATAAAATGTACTAAATCGTGTCAATGTGCGATATATATTTTAAATCGAAATAAATTATGTTCAATTATATTAATGAATGTCACCGAAAGTAGTTTGGTTCCATAAGAAAAGAAAAGACATGTCTAATGATTTCAATGAATATGTACAGTTGTATGCATCACCTAAAGTTATATCTCTATTCTAAAGATTCAATGCGAAACTTCAGTGCATTTCTTTTTTGTATTGGAAATATACTAAGTGGTATAAAAATGTGCATAATTTAAGATAGGAAGCAAACCTTGGGATGCATGAGAATGAAGGGCAGCTCGGCGACGAGCTCGCCGCTGATGGCTCCTAGATACAGCTTCACCTTAGCGCTGTAGCTCACCACGATGCCGAATGCATCACGCTGGTCAGGATCCAAAAGCCTACATTCATTAAATTATGTATAATTCAATATATGATAGGATTATCAGGGTTTAGGAAAAAATAAATAACCGAGTGATAGAGGTTCCCAGGCACCGGAGATGTGTTGAGATGTTCCCCGCAATGCCTCCCATCTCCTATATCCAAATCCTTAACTGGTAACTTCTCTGCTCTGTTGTGTCAATTGCTTACCATCAGGTGATTCATCTACTTGTTTGCCTCCCCATACTATAAGGAAAATATAAATACCACTTCAATAATTTCACCTGTCGAAATGCGAATACAATTCTAATTTAAAAGTAGTTGAACAAGGACAGGACAACCAGCGCCTTCTTTACTCAAGTAATATCGTATCATTGTAGAGTAAATATTTACAGAGTAGTCGACGCCAGAGTAGTGTCTGCGCGCTTCAGCTGACCATCGAGCGCGATGCCGCGCTTGTCCCGGTTGTGGGCCAGCGTCGGCGTCAGGTGCAGCACCTTCTGCAAGCTGGAGCCGGGCTGCAGCGGGCAGCCGTCCCTGCAACACGCACCGACTAGTAGCGGGCTCGTGGTACCAACAAATACTACAGAGTGCTCACTCACTGCGTCTCGATGCTGGCTACGATGTTCCGGTACTGTCCGTTCTGGAATAGGACCACGTCCACGCCCTGCTGGATACACGCCTTGATCTTCTTTACTACCTTGTTGCTGTGGTTGCGCACGCACATGTTGATCGCCACCGTCTCGCCGTGGATATACAGCTGCCACGTGAAACCAGTCGTTTACTTAACCAGCGAATCCCAAATGCGGGGTCACGCTCGACCCGACACAGGGCCGTCGATATAAAACACCGGCTCCGAATATTCCCACTTTATTTTCATAAACCTTTTAAAGAGTAAGTCGCTCTACACACGTTCAATAAGTATTCCACAATACTTTTATGTAATAATGAACTAGACATCTGGACATGAGTCTGGGCAGTATTTTCATGCGAGCAAAAAGCAAGAAAATATTGTTAAGTGCCTATTATTAAGTCAACACAATACAAGAAAAATAATAATTTTATTACTATTTAAGAAAATAGAGCTCTATCCAATTTTATTTCAGTACTAACGTTCAGAACTCACCTACACAACGGTAAGTGTATGTGGTAGTGTAAGTAACGGTAAGTGGTGGGTAATTTTTAACCAAATATTTGTTAAAATGGGTACAGTCATTCTTGTGTGGTGTGACAGTAGATACCTGACACACACATTATTGCTTTATTGCACATGTTTGTCTTAATACATTGATTTATATATAAATTCATTGTATACTTCATGGGTACCTGCTTGTCGAGCGTTAGCTCCAGCTCGAGCTGGCCGGGTGAGAGCACGAAGTCCTTGCGCACCACAGTGCATGGCTGCGGCCCTGGCTTCGCCGGCGCGTACTGTACCTTGCGGATGCCCAGAGCCACGGTGCTCCTGCAGTATTCACTTTGTCCTCAAATGTTCTCTTTCGACAAGTACCCGACAAGCGTGTACTACACAATAATATTATTATATAAACTTAAAAAACTGGATAATGTCTATTCCCTCTGAGTAATAAGTAGGTGCAGTCGATGCTACTAGTGCATTACATCTATCTGGTTTCATCGAGGGACTCAGGGTCAGGGGTCGACACTAATATTAGCAGTAGCCTTAGAAGTGGAAAGCATACCTGCGGTGTGAACGGTCGATTTCGGAGTCACCAACGAAAACTTTAACATAGTACTGCACGCCACACGGCTCCCCTTCATCCTCCAGGCCGGGCTGTAGAGTCACGGAGCCGGGGGCGCCCGCCGGCACCGTGAGCCGGAACGGTACCGCGCCCTCGCCTAACTTCTTTATAAGACGCTCCTGTCACGCGTCAGTAAAGTAATTACATATGTGTATGATCTCCTGGAACTCTTTAATTATATTGTGCAAGTTGATTGTAACCGAAGTAACCTAAACGATCTTACAACGCGAACATTTGCAACAGCTCTTGAGTAGTATTGGAATTGGTGTTGCAAGTGGACTTAGGTTCGCAGGCCATGGTGTGGAGCGAGGGGAACTGAGAAGCCGTCACCTCCTTCTGCGAAGCAGTCATGCTAGCTAAGGAAGAAGTATGTGGCGACACATGTCACAAGTCAACGGATGACGTCACAAGAATCCTACATCGCACATGCAAAGTTTACAAGCGAATAAACACGGATAGAAAATCCCAACGAACAACTGTTGGGCAGAAAGCCCGCCAGGCACGATCACCTCGCCTGGTCGAGGGGATCCTCCTTTTCCGATCTTAGGGAACTATACTCTCTGTTCCCTAAAGTGGTGACCCCGACGTGATTGGAAGCATCCTTCACCAGTATAGAAAGTCCGCACCGGTTCGCCAGAACTGGTTCTGGCACCGCAGCGGTGCCAGAACCAGTTCTGGCACCGCTCATCTCAAGCATCGACAGCCGTCTCAGCGGGATCGCCGCACGAAGAGACACAGGAGGTACACTTGCAACATCTTCTTGCAATTGGGACCGTAAGCTTTGTTACTGCCAATAGTAATGTTAGTAGTAAACGTAGTATTTTAAGTATAAAAGTATCTTTGCAACAATACCAGCCAACATCAAAAAATACGTAATAAATATTTATGTTGAAGAAATGCTGAAAGTGGCAATGATTACTCTTAGTACGCACAATCGCACATGTATGTACATCGTGTGAATGGATGAAAATAATGTGACAAAGGAATACGTAACATGTCCTAAGAATAATATGAAGGAAATTTGTGATGACATGTGATGTCGAGGGTTAAGGTAAAACTCTTACCTGTGTTCGTGATAGTTCATAGTTCCGTTTTTCTGGAGGAGGATAGATTTGTTCGGAGGCTAGAAATAGTTCCTTGTAAAAATTCAGCCCCATGACCTCATCTTCCTCGCGGCCGTAGCGGAAGGTGCAGACCAGCTGCCCGAACACCTTGCGCCCTCGCACGTAGTCCTCATCCAGGAGCACAACTCCATCTTAAAACAACGACAGAACTAGTAGTAGACGAGAGTATCCTTACCCGGACTTGGTAATGCAGTTAGTAGTTCTTATATTTAATTTTATCATTGAATTAACACTGCACTTCCGTTGCGGACCTATAGGCTCCACAGTCGAGATGTGGTCGACGAAGTCCCGCTTCGCCATGTACAGCGTGATCTTGCCATTGGGCGCACATTTCTTGAACACTTTAAAGTTGTACACCATGTTGCTGGGAGCGAGGCGCGAGGTGCTGGCACAGACGGACAGACTGTGGCCGGCAGCTTGCTGCTACAAATATATATAAGGGATTATTAGCTTGCGAGGCTTCGAGCCCAGTAATCTTGTTACCCTCATTAGTGACTCGCTTCACGAATACGGTGTTGCAGGACGTGAGGTGCGGGCTCCGGGGTGCGGGGGTATATACGTACTTACTTGCAGTTTATGATTACTCACTTGTAATGAGATTAATGAGCTGAACTGTCGAACATGTTTAAAAATAACTGAAGTGCTTGTGTCACTGTATGAAACATTAACAACAGCCAGTCGACCAAACAGATTATTTTCGTGATTGCAATCATTGGAATGAGTGTTTTGAATTTATTATTGAGTTTAAGATTATAACAGTGAACAGACATTCTGTAACATGTTATTGTTTTATCCATATTTGCAAAGAAACTATCTAATGTAGGAAATATTGGTCTCATCTAGCATAAATAAAATGTAAACAAGTAAAAGTGCAATTTATGACAATAAACAACGTTTTACTCTACAAACATATTGCGCACACCTCCGACATATGAAATAATAAATATTCTTTATTCAGAAATATACATGACACCAATTACCAAAATATTCGTTAAGTCAGCAGATCTCACATAGTCAGGTGCCTGTACTAGGATAATCCTGTGTCACAGGCGAAAGGTCTAATTATACTTTTAGGGCATCTAATTTCTATAAAAAATACTTAACATAGTTAGAACAAAATATGATTATTTAATACATAATTATGCTTTTTAATTTCTTAGTAAGTAGTTTTTAAGGATTAAAGTTTTAAATGTGTATGTATTAGTAACAATTTAATTAAAATCTTAATAGTCCTAGAGTTTGTACTTAAAGTGAATGGAAGAGATGAAGCTAACACAAAGATTACGACAGAGATGAGCCATACATTAAATAAAAGGAGAGCAGAGGTTAGTAGTGTAGGTATCCAAACTATCCAATACTTATTAACATTACGATTAATGCAAACTATAACTAAAACTGCATACCTATTAATTATCATTGTAGTCGAGGAATATAAACTAGGTGAAAGTCCATACAATAAATACACTTGTTGTTTTAGTACAACAATGTGCTTAGACATCAACGAGGCGATGAGTCAGTCAACTGTTTACATTGCGCAACTGTAATATAAATGAACTTGTAGTGTTGCTGTGTCTCCATAGTGTACAGAGTTTATGTGCCCGTTGTCAGCCATAACTTTTGCAGATTATTCAGAAGCACCAGTCATAATGATTGTTGGGCGTCTTGAATTGAAGGTAGCACATTTCGACTCATCTGACTTATTTCGGCAAGCTTTTATGGAATGTCCTTATTCGTGACAACGCCCGCAAGTGATGAAGGTCTGCCGACATGATTTGGTTTGTGAGGCACCTGGTTACCAGAGTGTAAAGTCTTGAACAGAGCATGATAACCGGCTTATAAAGACTCGGTCTTGGAATATTAGGGCTTTTCGTATGACTGCGGTAACTTCGACCACAACATTGCAGGTCTCAGCGTCTCTTCTCCACGATTTATGACTTAGTTGTCTTTAAAAACGTGTCAAGACTGCAATTTTCCATTTTGTCGGCTAGATTCTGGTGGAACGGGCACGTTAAAGCGTCGTTGTCTGTCATAGCTGACGGCACTCCTAGGATGGCGACTTTGAGCTTTCTTTTCTTCAACTCATCGACATTTAGGCCTGAGCTTGTTAGTGCGCTGATTGTCTCAAGTTATCGATATCAAGTTTGACTCGGTACTGACAATGACGCTTCTATTTTTAGTTTTGTAAAGGCCTCTTACTTGTAGATTTATTTCTTCAGGGCGGATGATTTTTGAGCCATTTTGCATCGTCACTTGTCTTCGTTTCGTCATTTAGATAAATGACCACAGAACCCGCATTTAAGGTTGAATAAAACTATACGCACCATTTTACCACATCGGCAAAATAATTTACTCGGATAGGATAGGATTTTAATTTTTGTTGACGTTTAAAAGTGCCTATCTGGTCTAATCGAAACAAATGACTTTGACTTGACTGTAACTTTGACTTTAGGAGTTTCAGTGATTCTCTTCTGAAGGTCTTTAAACTGCAAGCAAGGTCTAATTGATTCTCAAGATTATAAGCACTTTAGTGGGCTAGTAGGGCTCTGGCTTAAAGTACTGATCTGTGAAGGCCCGTTACTTACTCTTCTGCATAGGGCGTTGACTCGCAGCTTTTGTTCTGAGTTCATTTTGCCATCTCCGACAATATATAGCTATAGAGCTAAGGAGGAGGCGGGGCGCATGACGTAGCGAAGCGCTGCCTCATCACAACCCAGCCGTCGCGAAGAACACTCCAGGCGTCGGGGATCTCGGGATGATCTCCGGCCACCGAAAGCGCGGGCCTGCGGACGGCCAGCATGGGTGGCTAACCGCATGACCAGAACCAAACCCAAGCGTACGGCGAGTCGCGTTCCGAGCGCGCCTCAAAGAACCATCAGACCATCACGGATGGGGTCCAATAGGGCTGATGCCGATACGGAGCCGCGGAGAACCTAACGGGTTACCGGGGTTCCGGCTCGAAGTGAAGGAGTAGGAACGGGGTGGTTTTTAGTCAGTAAGAGTCTGACTCTCCCTCTCGCCTCACCCAGGAGGGAGAAGTCGTTCGATGATTTTCCCCTTAAAAAAAATCTCTGACAATATTGCATATGTTAGTGAGGCTCTGATCGATCGACCTCAACTACTTCTAGATCTCGGGCATCGCGACGGCTTCAGGAACATCGATACTTTGGGTTGGTAGTTGTAAGGTCAAATCGATGCAGGTGTACGAGGCGGGAAACGCACAACTCTGTTACTCTGGGCAAGTGTTCTCTTGTCAATTACAGAACATACGTTTTGTCAAGTATTAATGTACGATTGTTAATCTAGGTCGCAATTTTGCAATCGTAATTGCTTTATATATATATTTTACTAATAAGTTGTGCAATATGTGCGATTCATACGAAAGTATGTACAAGCGTAATAATACCATGCCTAAATACTATTTAGTGATCACAGGAATAATCTGTAATGAAATTGTATGCAGCTTAATAAATGGTATCTGTTAAAGATTTAATAATTTTATTCCGAACTTGTGGCACAGACGTCTTACCTATCAGTGGGTCGGTTACCTCTCAATAGAGGTACATATGACTGATAATAGTTACTTTTTGCTTATAATTTCTAGTTTTTATTATTTTTAAGTTTAGTTGGTTCGTGAAGTCGGCTGTTTATAATAAAAATGATTCCATTGTTGTGTGTTGTTCCCGTAAAAAAATAGGTACGGCCAAGTAGTAACCCGTATTTTACATATAAATATATAAATATAAAGTACATATACATATAAATATAAAGAATAATTTCTGTAACTCGTAGCATAGACTAGAAAAAGTAATAAATACAGAACTTTTTAAAACAAAACTAAGTCCAAAATGTCTTTTTTTTATACTTAATTCAGAACTTATGAATGAAAAAAATTGAAGTTTAGAAGCTTGTAAACAATTTTTTAAAACCATTTTTATCAAACAAAAATTTAGATTAATCAGTATTTAGATAATATACTAGACTTTGAAGTATATAATAAAATTATTTTAGACCACTAGACCTACAAACAAAAATGTTATGTTGAGTTAAAGAACCTTTTTCCTTTCAATAAAAAATCGTATCAATCGTGTGACCAGCCGTTACATTTGGACGAAGGGTTTATGGGTCAAAGGCAGCTAATGACCTACCGAACCCCTGAAAAAAATGTGTCGGTCCATCTTTCAAACACCCTGCCTGTATGTCGCAGTAAGATAGATAAAGTCGTAATATAGTTATATCGCTAAGGATATAACTATAAACCGTAACATAGTTATATGAAAGCGATTCATTACTATCTCTAGGAATATAGTTATAAAACGGTCCAAGTCTAGTGATATAACATAATTATATTACTAGATTCAGTTTAGTGAAATAGCTTCCGGAGTTTGTGACTCGTCGGCGGCTCGCCGCTACTGATAGTTGTGCCTGTACGAAGCATTCAGTGCTACGTAATTCTAGATGTCATGATTCTTTTTCCTGACTTAATAAAATTATAGGATAAGTAATAATGGGTCTTTACCTATGAAATTGCTGTGATGTATAAAACATAAGCATTTTTTCATGTATTTTTTATTTGTATTAATCGCAGTAATCACCGATGCAACCAATGCATCTGCATCTGCATCTGCACTGCCAATGCTTATTTATTGATGATTAAAGAAATCAGCTGGACGGCAAACAATTCTTCAAAGCCATTATTATTCAATACCCGAGAGACAGTACAACTGCCTCTCGGGTATTGAATTTTTATCCCACCAACAAGTTATCCAAATTCTGGAAAAAGTAGTAGTCCGTAGGTGCAAGGTCGAGTAGGGCGGATGACGGAGAGCTTCCAACCCCAGTTCTGGCAACTTGGAGACTGTCTGCTGTGCAGTATGAGGTCGCGCGTTGTCGTGCCGGAGCAGCGGAGACGAAGGATTGACCAATGCTGGTTGGAGATAGGAGATGTGCCAGCTTCTCCATCATTGTGTTCAGTTCTTCACAGTACACATCTGCAGTACCAGTAATGCTCACCCGTTTAGTAAGCCACTAGACCACCACAACGGGTACGTAAAGGTCGTTGTTGTCGTGTGCCGCTTGCGTGCCGTGTTGCTGCCACGGCTCATATTCCATAATTACACAAATTTTTAACGTATCCATGATGACGAAAAAGAATTAAATGCAATGAAAATGTAACACACAACAAACAAATGACTACATTCATGTTTTTAAAATAAAGTTATTTGGAATTGGAATTGTTAGACAAAAAACCATTATAATATTGTTTTCTTTAATTATTATACGGTCGATTTCTATTTCACTAAGGTCTACTAGTAACACATTTATAATACTGAACGTACCTAATCTAGTAATACAAACGTATATCAATAAACTTGGACCGTATTATAAATATATTCCTAGAGATAGTAATGAATCGCTTTCAAATTACTATGTTACGGTATATAAGTGTGAGAGAGCCATGCTTCGGCACGAATGGGCCGGCTCGACCGGAGTGATACCACGGCCTCACAGAAAACCGACGTGAAACAACGTTTGCGTTGTTTCGTCGTGTGAGTGAGGTTACCGGAGGCCCAATCACCCTCCTCTTCCCCAATCTCCCCAATTCCTGAATCCCCAAAGATCCTCATACTCCTAATCCCCAAGGCCAGTAACGCACTTGTAACGCCTCTAGTGTTCCGGGTGTCCATGGGCGACGCCGATTGCTTACCATCAGGTGATTCGTCTGCTCGTTTACCGGCTTACATAACATAACATCACGCCTTTTATCCCCGAAGGGATAGGCAGGCAGAGGTGCACTTAATGCCACTGTACAATGTAACACCCACTTTTCATTATTTATGTTATGAGTCCCATGTAATAAGGATTTTTTTTTTCAGACCAATTCCAGAATTTCAGAAAAATTCAACATAATACCAGACTCCGTGTTACTACTGAGATTTGTTATTTTAAAACCCAGTAATACTTTGCCCGACCCGGGAATGGAACCCAAGACCCCTTGCCCGTCAGTCGCACTTGCGACCACTCGGCCAACGAGGCGGTTTACCGGCTTATGCAATAAAAAAAATATATTAATTATATCTCTAGGGATATAACTATATTACGGCTTTATCTATCTTACTGCGATATATAGATGTCCACCAGTTCTGACGCCCGCGCTCGTCTTCTGACTCTCAGCTGAAAACAAAATAAAAATGTTTTATCAACAATTTACTAATTGTTTACCAACAGCATGCACATTGTACCACGGTGACGACTCCGCGCAGTCCGCGCTGACTCACACGCGGGCCGGTCGTTCACCCGCGCGCCGTCCCTCGCGCGCTCTGCTTGCCTCCATTCTATGCGGTCGCAGCCGCACACGATACTATTAAGATTGTTCGTAGACCATTTGTGTTACTGTCAGACTGTAACTCGTGCAAAATTTTACAAAATCCTTCTAAAATTACATTGTCGCATAAAATCTATGCTGAGTAGCCAACATTACGGTGACGTCACGGAGTGGTTTTCTACGGACTTGATGTGGCCCCCCTCCCAGCGCGCGACACAGTACAGTTAGCCGCCGAGTATCGCGCTCGCTACCACGGCCAGCTCCTCACAGGGAATGCGCAAGCGTCGCACGTCGCGCGTAAAGTCGGCTAGTAAGTTAAGGTGTAGTGTGCAGTGTGTAGTGATGTACCGACATGGTTGTGTTGTTTAATCTGGTCGAGTGCTGATCAAACTTTGTTTGTGCCGTTTGCTATGTGATCTCTGCTCAGCCCTGAATGAAAATTGACGAACTGTAAAAGTTCGTCTAGACGCGTCAATTCAAGGAAGTGTGTCCCGTAGCGCGCGCTTGCGCATGACGTCTTAGATGCCGTGAGCCGTGCCACCGCCTGTCCGCCCGTGACCAACCGCAATTAAAGCATCAGATGTTCTAGGTACCTACGTCAATGTCACTAACAGTATATGTATTGTATAAAGGTACAACAAGTTGTTGTGTCCCATGTGAACCTCGGAGGGAGTTTTGTAAAATAGAATCTTCTAATCTCTCTACCTAGTCAATGACCAAATTAAACGTAACATCCTGACAGGAACGTAATAATTAGTTTTAATACCCACAATGATTAGTTTTGAATTCCTAATATTCCTATACCTTCACTTCTTGTTCCACAAAGTGTCCAGAAGACAAGCTACAGTCTGCGCTAGTGAGGTCACGCTAGCACAGAGCACAGAGTGTATACGTACAGACAGAGTACTTCAAGCTCAGTTTACTGTCCTTATAATTTTTTCGTTTCGGTAACGGCGACATTCATAGCTATTTCCTACCGTGTGCCTTGCGTGTATGTGACTGAACAGTGTAGAAAACATGTTCACAAATAGAGCGGTAGAGTGGTACAGCTGGCACTCCCTACGTACTTTAGATACCTACCTCGTGACGTACCTACGTTAAAACAAGAATAAAGACTTCTTTTGGTTGTACTTTCCATAATTTCATTAATACGGCAGCTCAGCTACGCTACGCTCCCGTCTTAGCCTCCTAATCGAACCTGTCCGAGTCGGGGTGCCCTTAAGTTCGCTTCTATGACGCTTACTACTACTACGGAACGTATTTCGTACATCGCGTGATATTTTTCGATGTATTCGGTAAATTCAATTTATCTTTAAAACTAATCTTTCATTGAACATATTAAGGCAATTAGTGAAAAAGCCAAAAATAACTTCTATGCGCTGACGCGATTTTCAAAATCCACCTGGGGTCTCTCTTTTCTTACGCTCAGGAGCAACCTATCTGGGATGCGTGTACTACGGGGCACCTGCCTGGGCTGATAGGGCCACAATAGGCGCGGTACGGCGAAAACTTCTCCAAGGCCAGCGTCTAGCCTTGTTTAACCTGTGTAAGGCTTATAGCACGGTTAGCACTGAGGCCCTACCTGTGCTCGCGGGCGTACTTCCGATCGATCTTCAAGTGCAGCTTTTCTGCTACAGTTTTTGTAGTAACAAAATGTAGACAAATTTACTGCGATATTAATATTCAAATTATTTACCGCCTGAACAAAGCTTGATTAATGTTTCCAAATGTACACTTTTTGCATTTTTCTTTTAATGCCCTTTCTATTATATCTGAAACTGTATTGGTTGACGAGCGATAGAACTGAATTTATAAAAAAAATTGGGATTACATACCTATGATATGAATGAACGAAGACTTGTTATGCCCTAAGTTCACTGTAATTTTTTTTTAGATGGTATATATGAATTTCCCCTTTTTATTTAATATCAAGAAAGTACCCTTATTTTCAGAAAATATCGCAAATATCTGTTTCTATCAGTTAATATTTACCTTCTCACCAGCTAAGCCAAGTAGCTGCGTTAAGCGCTGAGCAACCGCAGCAAGCAGCCATGGCGAGCAGCAGCCGCAGCAGTCCCGACTCACAGCATGTCACTGGTGAGCAAGTCCCTGCGCAACGTGCAACACTCGGTGTACCCGACACAGTGCCACACGGAGCGTCGGTGGAGTGACAGAGCGGTTGTGTTGCAGGCGCGGCGCTGCGCGAGGACCTGCCGCTGAAGGCGGGCAGCGGAGTGCGCGCGCGGTGCTGCGCGCCCGGCCCGCGCCTTATCCTCACCGCGTTCGCCGTGCTCTCCGCGGCCATCACTCTGGCGCTCGTTACGCAAATCTACTACGGTGACTTCGAGGTATAATAACTCACCTCTTTACCCAACGTTCACAGCACATCCACATCCTATAAGTTACCACTCCTAACCAAAGGCCTCTTCTGGCATAGAGAAGGTTTGAGCATTAATCACCACGCTTGCTCAATGCCGATTGGTCGATTTAACTTATAATTCGAAATTATAAGCCCAGGTTTCCTCATGATATTTTCTTTTGCCGTTTGTTAGCTGTGTCTTAATCATCCCTTAGAAAGTACATGTAACTAACTCGGAAAAAGTCACCTTGGTCACTAGCCGTTGGTAAGTTCTGACCCCGCTCTCTTATGTATGAGAAGCGGACAACGACCGCCAACATGAGTAGTAGGCAGCTGTAACAACCCAATAGTGTAGTGTGTGACCGTGGAGTGACGTCACGTTGTGTCCCGACCCCGAGCAGCTAGTCCCGCACGGCAGCGTGTCGTCGTCGGCCGCGGCGTGTTCCCGCGCGGGCACGGACGCGCTGAAGGCGGGCGGCCGCGCGCTGGACGCCGCCGCCGCCGCCGCGCTCTGCCTGGCCGTGCTGGCGCCGCACCGCACCTCCCTCGACGCGTACGTATTACTACATACACGCTCACTCCGCTCAATAGTTTCAGCGATTAGCGCATGCAAACAAACAAAGTATGATTTAAAAAAATATTTGTATATCAGATTGTCTGCATAGTCTCTATTTTGTATTCTGTTTTGTTTTTCAATTTCCAAACAAAATTAAAAAGATAGTAAAGGCATATAACCACACTACAACTATATTTTTAATTTATTTTTGTCCAGCACTCGCACCACATTAATTTAAGGTCACGAATTCTAAACGTGAGGACTTGTAATCGGCAGATCGGCTCTCTGATACCTGCGCTCATTATGTAATCAAGCTTACTACACACTGACAGATTATCTTGAAGATAAAAATGCTTGGCAGCATGTTGGTTCGGTTCCACTGGACAATACTCAAATGTAGTCAGTACTTAAATTCCAATAGTAGGTAATTTAATAATTTAATACTTTAATTCTAATGTAGACAATCTAGTTTCCTTATGGCATCGAGCATTTCTTTTTTTTATTGAAACAAAGAATTACTGTGCGAGCCTGCAATAGCTCACACAAGAGGAATGTCAATAGAATGTCACGGGAAGATTAATTAGAGAGAGTTTGTCAAATAAATTATACGTCAATACAGGTTGAATGCTTTTAATGCACTGTCCAACATGCGCTTGTAAAAATGTACATATTAATTAGGCCGATGTGGCAATAACACTCGACAGTTAAAAATGCAAACAAACAAAAATATAATGAAAATGGCTTGTACATATTGCCAACAACGAAATACCGCCAAAATAAAAAAATACAAAAGTAGATTAGTTAAAAATTAAGCCAACTACGATTAAGGTTCAGGTAAATTATCAAATTTAATTGTCTTGTTCATAGTGGGGGACGTAGCCCTATGTACACCGAGTCTTGAACCACTAATTTCGCGAGAGATTGACTTAGCGGTGTGTCGCGCACTCACACCACTTTCATTCACTGTATCACTCACTACACTGTCTTGACTCCGACTGATTGTCACCATTGACGATCCAGCTCCCTGGGCTGCCAGATGTTGCTGCTGCGGCGTGCGTATTGGTCTTGTTGTCCACCACTTCCTTCCGAATCTCAATATAGCATATGCCATGACAAATAGGACCAGCGGAACCAAAATTGAGTAGATAACTGTATAATGCGAGGTACCAGTCATACCGTCAATTCCTTGCAGGTTTTGTTGTTTCAATTCTTCTATTTGCCGCTTTATAGAGTTGTAAAGTTCATTGTGATTTTCTGTCCTCATTTCTATAGGATTTTGAAGAACTGAAGAATTCAAGATATTATTCAAGGCCGATATAGGCTGTGTTGTTGGTATGTCAATCAGCGGTTGCAGGAAAATTTTGTTGTGATAATCATGGTAGGCTTGTATGGTAAATGTGTCTCCTTTAATGAGACATCCTTGACCTACAGTAATTATACCATTGTCATGCAGTTGTTTTGTATCAAGACCACCTGGGCATAAAATGCGAATTCTGCACTCCCGGCAACATGAGTATAGCCACGCGCCCGGTGATTGTAACTTGATCCAGTTGTGTGAACATTGTCTGAGCTCTGTCCGACAAAATGAGTCATTATTATTATTGTACAGGCTTATTGCACATATTGACCTATCAAGGTGGACATTAAGTATGGGAATACTTTCGTAGCATATTAACATCTCGTTTAGATACCGTTTGCATGTTTGTAGGTCGGTCTCAGTCATGGGTATAACCATATCTTTTTTCATGTTCACTGCGATGTAGGGAGTAATGGGAATATTGTAGAGGATGCTGTCATTCACTTTTCGTGGCAGGGGGATTATTTTATTAAGTTCGAATAGGTTCTGACTTAATAATGGAATTTTGATTTCTATAATTAGGAATGCTTTTGTCACTTTTGCCCGCATTTGCATGAGACGATATAATTCCCTTTCATTATTGTGTGGTATTACTAATTCCCCTTGAAGTCGTCCAGCAATGAGATTGAGTTGATTTTGCAGTTCATCAGGTGATATTAAATGCATGTCAAGTCGCCCATGATGTATGTTTGTAACGGTCTCAAGTAAAGTGTCTTGAACTCTTCTTAAATTAGATAAAATGACATTAACTGAGAGTGCCATTGTTATAATTTGCAATTGATTATCTGTTACTATTCGCACGTTGTTAATCGCCGACGTCATATTATTTAAATATTCGTTAATGTACTGGAAGTGACTATTCATTATATCTTCATTACGTTTCAAGATGTTGTTTTCAGTTTCCAAAATAGAGGTCTGATTTCGTATCATCTTTAGTAAATGATCTTCATTATATTTGATCGACATAATATCTCTTTCGTACTTTTCCGCAAATTTGTCATCTAAAACCCCAAATAATGAGTTTGCAACATTACCTATAGCATTTATTAAGCCTCTCTTTACCCGTGTCTGACTTTTAGCCTGCAATAATTCATTGTAATAATTTATTTCATTCAGTTCATGCTCGAATTGCGATATAATCGGTTGAAACATTAATTCATCCTTTTCTACGCTTTTCAAATGCATAATGTAATTTTGGATGTCAGCCATGTTTTGCCAGTATTTTGTCATGTTGTAATAAACTATCATTTTCCATTGATCTTGAACAACTCTCATGTCAGCGACTTTGTCAAAATATAGAGTGTTGGTTGTATTAAAGACGGTGTTATTAAAACTGTGTTGCAGCGAAGGAACTATCAATGTCATGAACATTGTTAAGATAGCTACCAAGTAGTTAAGTTGTTTTGGTTTTCTTGTGTTACGTTTGGGCCTCCCCCCATGTTTAATATCATTTTTCTGTTCTGTGTCATTTGTAATAGCCTTACTCGTATCCGAATAAACCGGTAAAGGTGTCAATTTGATAATAGGTCGTTTTAGGTATCCATTCTTTGTTTTTATTGTTACTACACGAACGCATCCATCTTTTCCTTCATGTACCTCTGTTATCTTCCCCATTGCCCATTTAGACGGTGGCATGTTGTCTTCATTGATCAAGACAATGTCATTAATTTGTAAGTTTGGCTTGGTTTGATACCATTTACAGCGTGTTTGTAGGCGGTGGAGATATTCTTTCGACCATTTGTCCCAAAATGACACGTGCATTTTCTGCATTAGCTGCCAACGCGTATGTGGGTTGATAGGTTCTTTCGGATTTTCTAGAGGCGTCGATAACAATGGACCCCCTATTAAAAAGTGTCCCGGAGTCAAAACCTCCTCTTCTACATTCTCTGTCAGGGCATATAGTGGCCTCGAGTTGACGCATGCTTCTATTTGCGCTAATAACGTGTAGAATTCATCAAATGTTAACTGTTGTTCTCCTATAATGCGTTTCAGGTGGTGTTTAACACTTTTTACAGCGGCCTCCCAAAGACCACCGGCACTTGGCCATGCTGGCGCATTGAAATGCCAAGTGACTCCCATACCACTGATGTCCTCTAAGAAATCGGTGTTGATGACGTTCAAAGCCTCCTTGTGCTGTCTGTTCAGTATTTTTGCTGCACCAACGAAATTAGTACCATTGTCAGAGTATACATGTCTAGGTACTCCACGACGTGCACACATTCGTTTGAAGGCCGCCAAAAATGACATAGTGGTCAAATCTGTCACTAATTCTATGTGTATAGCCTTCGTTGCAAAGCAGACGAAGACGGCTATATACCCTTTGATGGTTTTAATACCTCGCCCTTTATTCGCCTTTATATTCACAAAACCAGTAAAGTCCACGCCGGTGTGCGTAAAGGGGCGGGAGGGTGTCACTCTAGGCTCTGGCAGATTACCCATAAGTTGATGTGGAGTTTGAGGACTGTGACGTCTGCATTGAATACATTGGCGAATCCTCTTTTTCACGGCTCTAGTCCCCGAGATAATCCAATAATTATATCGAGTATAGGCTAATGTCAGGTTAGCACCGCCATGTAGGGTAGCTTTATGCGCTTCATCAATGATAAGTTGAGTTAAGTGAGAATCGTTTGGCAGTAGAATGGGATGTTTTCTGTCATATGTCAATTTAGAGTGTTGCAATCTCCCACCAACTCGTAAAATTCCAAATTTATCTAAAAACGGATTTAATGTCAACAGCGTGCTTTTAGAGGAGATAGATTTACCCTTTAGAATACTATTTATAGCTTCGCTAAAGTGTTGGACTTGTACAGCTTTAATTATGCTGTGTAAGGCTGATCTCATTTCACTTGCACTTAAGTGCGCACATGGTTTATTATTGTTACGTCGCGTGTGCTGTATGAATCGTGATATCCAACACATGATCCTCACTCCTCGTGTCAAATTACTACATTTATTTAATAATTCAATTATAATAGACGGCGTAATTAATTGCAGTGTACATACTGATTTAGCATTTTTAACTTCAATATTGGGTGGCTCAATTGGTGGTACTTCAGCACAGATCTCTTTCTCATTCTTCAGCCAGGACGGTCCTTCCCACCACAGTTGGTTATATAATACTTGCGATGGGTGTAATCCCCTGGTAGCGCAATCTGCTGCATTTTCCTCCGATTTGACATGTCGCCAACGAGAAGCAGGTAGAATATTAATTATTTCCCGAACACGATTTGCGACATACGTTTTCCACCTCGACGGATCACCTTGTAGCCATCCCAATACTACCATGGAATCTGTCCATCCACAAACGTCGACTGTCATATTTTCTGGCAACGATACTTTTATCTTGTTTAATAACTTTGTCAATAAAACTGCAGCGCAAAGCTCTAAACGGGGGAGCGTTAAGGGCTTTTTGACTGGTGCAAGTTTTGTTTTTGCAGCCAGTAATCTCAGAAATATTTTACCCTTGTCATCCATTGTCCTAGTATACACCGCACAAGCCATGGCCTTCTCCGAAGCGTCAGAAAATCCATGCAGCTGGATAGATTTTTCTGTATTTCCTATCCATCTAGGTATTTCAAACTTCTCTATCTTCCTTAAATCATTCCGTAATTTACTCCACTCTTGTTTTATGTTCGCGGGAATCTCATCATCCCATGCTATTCCCGTAGACCAAAGTTGCTGAAATAAAATCTTCAATTTGATTGTAATAGGTGCGAGCCAACCAAGTGGATCAAATAACTTAGACATATCGGATAGCATCATCCGCTTGGTGTATTTGTCATTTGTAGTGTAATTTATTTTGTTGTCAAATGTGAATGAATCCGACGTTGGATCCCATTTAAGTCCTAGGGTTTTAGTTGAGTGTGCACATTTGAAATCGATGTTAGTCATACTCAATTGATCTGAATGTAAATGACTAAGTAGCTCAGGCGTGTTACTAGACCATTTACGCAGATTTATTCCTGCTCCTTTTAACATATCAATCAACTCCATTTGCGTTTGTTTTGCAATGTCAATATTATATTTCCTGCCAATAAATCATCCACGTAAACATTTTTCAGCACAATGTTTGCGGCTAACGGGTATTTGTCTTTCTCGTCTTCAGCTATTTGCTTTAATGTTCTTAAGGCTAAAAAAGGTGCTGCCTTAGTGCCGTATGTTAATGTGCATAGCTGATATTCTTCTAAACATTTGCCATTTTTCCAGACAATTTTTTGGAGATGTTGGTCATTTTCATGAACTGCGATCATTCTGTACATTTTCTCACAGTCAGCAACGTACACATATCTGAAGGTTCGCCAGTTGATCAATAGTCCTTGGATATCATTATGTAATTTCGGGCCACATTCCATCAAATCATTCAAACTATAACCTGACTTTGTTTTGGATGAGGCATTAAAAACCACACGTAATTTCGTTGTCGTGGAGTCTTCTTTGTGTATGTCATGGTGGGGTAAAAAGCAATGAGGTTCCCTTTTCTCCACGCATTTCTTCATGTGTCCTAGGGCTATATACTCGTTGATAAACTTATAGTAGTCTTCGTGCAATTTCACATTCTTTTGTAACCTAGTGTCTAAATGGTTTAACTGAGCAACGGCCTTTGCTTTGGATGATCCGAGATGCTGTTCAAAATTTTCTATCATCGGATAGCGCACTTCATATTTTCCATTTGGTAATCTTCTTGTGGTTGACGTATAGAAATCTTCGCACCACTGCTCTCTATCAGTTAATGCATTCTTCTCCATCACCTCCTCCATCTCCCAAAATCTTGACATATCCTCATTATTGTTCACAACAACATGACAGTTGAAGCTTGTCAGACGTGTATTTCCGGATAAAATCCACCCAATTCTTGTCTGTTGCGCTATAGGTTCTTGGGTTGATCCTCGTAATAATCCACTCATAATTATCTCAGAGTAGACTTTCACGTCGAGTAGAATGTCAATAGGACCTGAAATGTAATATTCGGGATCCGCTAATTGAAGGTTTTGTATATGAGGATAGTTTTTCTTCGTAAATGATGCATTGGGGAGATTGTTAATAACTTTTGTCATTATGAGAGCTTCTGTTTCAAATTCGTATTCATCATAGATAGATTTACACTCAAGTACCAACATGCCCTTGCCTTTTTTAGGGGTGACGCCTACACCACAAACCGATGCATTAATGTGTTGACGGCGAAGACCCAATCGTTGCGCTGCATTCTCTGTGATAAGGGTGATCTGTGACCCTTGATCCAAGAGTGCGCGGAAGGTTATGTAGGTACCATCTGAGGCCTTTACCTTAATTTTTACTGTTGTTAATAATATTTCGTCATTCTCATTGTCAACGTGATTTGCATTTTTGTTTACGGGGCGGGATGACGAAACCGAGGTTGATGGCATCAATGTTTCACTAAAAGCGTCATGTAGCAGCGTATTATGCTGTTTATTACAAATTTTGCAGCGTTTGTTGGAATTGCAGATTCCTTTTTCATGTCGATAAAGACAATTTTTGCAAATATCATATTGTGAAATGGAATTTAGTTTGGTTTCCGGTGGCATACTTGCAAACTTGTGGCATTGATACAGCGCGTGATCAATATTGCAGAATGGACATTTGTCACGTTTATAATTGGTATAATATGCCCTGGAAAAAATTATGTTTATGAGATGCATTTTGATCTCTTTTGTCACTTTTGTCAGACGGTGTCACGTGTTTTCGGTACTTATGCACCAAGTCTTCTCTTTTGCGAATAGGTTCTAATGCAGTAAACTTGAGTTCTAAAAATGAGAGGAACTCTTCTATTTTTGCTAACTCACGCGGATTTTTTCTTTGTTCTTGATAATCTTGATAAGTTTCACTGTCAAGTTTCTTCGTTAACAGGTGTACTAACAGTGGACCCCAAGTTGTCATTTCCACTCCTAGATTTTGGATGGCGTGCAAGCATTCTTTGCTTACATCATGCAATTTCTTTATCTCGAATGCTGTTTGTTTTTGAACAGTTGGTTGATTCAGAAAAACTTCGATTTGTTTAGTGAATAGTAGTTGTTTGTTGTTATATCGTTGACATAAAATATCCCATGCGGTATCATAATTATCTGTCGAGATATGGAGATGTTGAATGAGTCTTTCAGCTTCACCTTTCAACTTACTTTTTAAATGTTGCATCTTTTGGGATTTAGTCAGTGTATGATTATGATGAATAGTCTCTTTGTATAGATCTAAGAATGTCGGCCAATCAGTATAATTTCCTGAAAATATAGGGATGTTCATTTTAGGTGTAGAATCTTTAAGGTGCGCAGTAGATGATAATTTCCGATTGAGACTTCTCTTGATCTCTCTGTATTTCATCTCATGCTCGTTGTACTCATCTTCATACGCCAGGTCTGGCTCCTCCAGTAAGTTGTCAATTTTCCAATGCAATTTGTCAATAAATTCCCAACGTGTTTGTAAGCTACGAAGTTCATCTTCTAATTCCCATTTCTCTTCTATTCCCTCTACATCACAGAACTGAACTTGCCTACTAAGGGCTTTAAAATTCGTTCGCTGTTGGCTGATTAGGCTACTCAATTTAGAAGATTCGGGTGCATCTTCATCAGATTCCTTAATTTCGGACGGTTTTGGCATCTTAAATGTCGCCACATTGAGTTCTTATTCCCTCGTAGTACTTCAGAGTTTGCTCATACAGATTCCTCACGAAATATTCATGGGACTCGTCTTTAAATGTCAATAACTGATCATGATTAAATTGGAAATCTTCCCACAATTTATCCAATCTCTCTAATTTCTTAATAAGGTATTCAGTAGTCTTTACTGGATGGATCTTTTTAAAGTTAATATTTTCACGTTCAAGACTTTTGATGAGCGCCTGCTGGTTATTAAATAGAGCCTCCATGTTTCGTCAAAAGGTCCAGAGTCTAATATAACGGAACAGTCTTACCTGGATGCAGCTGTCACTTACGTCACCTCTACTTGCGGAAAGTTGCGCCAAGCTGTATTCTGCACAGTACGCTGTTGGCACCAGACGACGTTGTTCCTTGTAGCTAATGATCACTTGTCACTCGTGTAATGCAGGGGCTCGTGTTGAACGTAATGTCACTTTACACAGATTGTCACAAGTTGTCTCAGAAAAGCGGGTTAGTTTCCCACTGGCCACACTATTTGCAGCGCAAAAAAAATGATTGTCACTGTCCAATTGTCACGTGGCACGATTGAATGCACTGTAATTCACTGTCACTGATAAAATGACTTTCTGGCTTTTGTATAAAACGCGACGAAAAGTCATATATCCGGCTCGAAGGACCAAACTGTGCGAGCCTGCAATAGCTCACACAAGAGGAATGTCAATAGAATGTCACGGGAAGATTAATTAGAGAGAGTTTGTCAAATAAATTATACGTCAATACAGGTTGAATGCTTTTAATGCACTGTCCAACATGCGCTTGTAAAAATGTACATATTAATTAGGCCGATGTGGCAATAACACTCGACAGTTAAAAATGCAAACAAACAAAAATATAATGAAAATGGCTTGTACAATTACCTTTTCTTGTATAGAAGCACTATTTTTACGGATTGTCAGTATGCATATGTGAGCACCATAACTATAAGATTTTTTTGTTTTGGTTTTTTTTTTATTTTAGTAAGTTTTGTAATTGGTACCTATAATGCGTCAAGCGTGTCTTTGCATTATTCTCACATATGCGTACAGTATTGGAATATGTATCAGAGACATTGTAGAACATACTTTTTTTAAAAAGAGTAACGAATGGAGTTTCTTGCTCGTTCTTCTCCATTCGAATCTACATTTTGGAATGAGCACCTAGCTTCACCTATCTTCACTGACGGACTGACTGACAGACTATTATATTATTTCTCAACTTGTGTGAAGTGAACAACATTATTACAATGCATTGATGTAACAGTGAATTCTTAGAATTGTATCGTTTATTTGATAGTGTTTGTGTCATGGATTTCCAAGATCAAATGACCTGTAAAAGTGATACATTGTACGGCCATGTTGCAGGAGCGGGGCGATGCTGTACTGGGAGTACCGTGCGGCACGCACGCGCCCCCCCACTCTGTACGAGTGGGGGGGCGCCAGTGAGGCTGGCCGCCAGGGCGCTGCCGGGCGCCCGCCCCGCCTCGTGCTCGCACTCGCCACGCTGCACGCTCAACTCGGCGCCCTGCCATGGCAGCAGCTACTTATGCCCGCCATACGGTTAGCGAAGTAAGCACCAAGGAAATTAATGATATAAAATCATATATTTATCTTTTATGCATTTACTAGTATGCCCGCGACTTCGTCGGCGTGGAATAGTGACTTTGGATAGTTCTTCACAGTTCCTCTCCCGTAGGTGATAGCGTGATCATATGTAGCCTATATGTTGACCTGACCTGTTTGTAATATTTATGCACAATTTGAAGTAAATCTATGCAGTACTTTTTGAGTTTAGCTCGAACATACATACAGACAATTAACAGTCAAAAATTGTAAAAACTATATTTTTGGTTTCGGTGTCGATTGTAGATTATGCCCTAAATAACATCACGCCTTTTATCCTCGAAGGGATAGGCAGAGGTGCACATTATACCACTGTACAATGTAACACCCACTTTTCACTATTTATGTTATGAGTCCCATGTAATAGGGGGTGAGCCTATTGGCATATACCGGGCACAGTTCCAGACTCCGTGCTACTACTGAGATTTTTTTAAAACCCAGTTATACTTTGCTCGACCCGGGAATCCAACCCGAGACCCCTTGCCCGGCAGTCGCAATTGCGACCACTCTGCCTACAAGGCAGTCATGCCCTAAATATTAAAAAAAAAATATTCAAATTCAAATAAGTGAAAGTGTGGTCAAATAGATGTGACCTATTAAGAATTTCTTAGTTAATATGTTATAATTCTGTCACCTAGTAATGTTTACCTTAGTAACGTCTGGTCAGCGCCAAACATTATGTAAGTCTCGATTCTTCGCCAAATAAATCCAAATGTTCACAAAGCCATTGTAAGTAGTACAAGATATTATCAGTAGTGGGAGTAGTCATCATCTACATAATTATGTTCATTAATAGTTTGGCGCAATTCAAGAAAATTCCCTCAGATGTAAATTACAATTTGGTTATTTCTCATCAGTTCTACTTTATGAATTACAATATACTACATGTATTATAGTCTCAGTAATTCTCTATTTCATGTATGTGTGCAGAGAGGGCTACCAGGTATCAGAGGGACTGGCAGCGGCGGCTGGTGCGGCGGACTCGACACTGGCGACAGGGACGATGGCCGCAGGGTCCCTGGTCACGGCGCCAGCGCTGGCCGCCTTCTTGTCCTCGCTACTGGCCAACACTAGCTCCGGTTAGTACGCAGCTCGTGAACTACGCACGTCTTGTGACTCAAGTCACTTCATCATACCTGTAGAGGTCGACTAAACGATTGGCACAGTGGCTGGGCCACGAACTGCTGCAGAACATGTCGCGGGTTTGTACGCAGTGATTGTTTGTGTGATCCACAATAATAATGTTGTTCTGGATGTGTTGTGTACCTACGTACTTGGAAGTTAAAGTGAAAAAAGTACTCTCAATCTAAATCCTCTTATTACATTATGGCAAAGATAATTACCTATAAATTTCTCTCACAGAACTGACGGAGGCGTGGCATGGCGCAGCGCTGGTGCGTAGTTCGACGCCAGTAGAGGCCCGCGCGGGGTCCTGGCGCGTGCTGACGCCGCCGGGCGCCGCGGGCGCCGCGCGCGCGCTCCAAGCCGCACTGTTGCCGGCGCCTGCCTCACCCGACGAAGCACAAAGCAGGTCACTACATGTTTACTTTCACAATATAAGATCATCAATCACTGTACCCATCTGTTATGGCATATGCCCCGCCGTAATATACACGTATATGTATATACATATGCATAATATGTATACGTTTATGTTATAAGAACCGGGTGATTAAATTATACTTTGGGTGATGTCGTCGTACAAAAAATCAAATCAAGTCGATCCTCATTCTAGTCCTGTAGATAGATATTTCTACGATTATTGCATTAGCCAAGGGTCATTGTTTGTTTTTTTAATTCAACGTCGCTTTTACTTATGTCCACTCCAATTAATTGTTTTGCCACATTTTTTATCCAAGAGGGTAGTGTATTCTTAAATTGTGTTATGTATGCTTACACTGTAATAATACTGTTATATTTAAATGTAAGTATCAAAAACAGCAATCTGGGAAATCCAATCAAAAGGAGAACGGCAGATTTTGTACCGCTTCGCTAAAAAAAGATTTGTCATTAAAAAATTGGGTCGTTATAGAACCTCCTAAGTACGTTATGTTAGCATATTTAATAGATTTTTAGAACTTGGGAAACCCTAGAAAAACTGATATTCAATAATGATAAAAATCAATCTATTAACCGTAAAACGAACCGCGATTGACGTTTACAAAGTTGCCATGCGTAAAAATGAAATCAGAGCATATTGAATTTCGCTATTTCATAAACTCATTTATTTTAATATCTATCAATGAAATATTTTCCTTTCTATTTCAAACATTTTTATAAGTAAATATAAAAATCTATATCCAATCTAAATCTACGTCTACATGGATTATTAATGATAATATTAACATTTTAACAAACTTGAATATGGCAATGTTGAACTGGCATTTGTCTTGATGACATTGACAATTAATTTGTCAAATGTCAATACTGGCGCATTGCTGTTTGTTTCAAATGCGATGTTATGATGTATTTGTTGAATTTGAAGTTATTTTATTTATCTGGTGATACGTTAAGTTTGGCAACCGTTCCTCCGTAGCCCAAATTGGTGTTATTGGCATCATTGTTGCGACAATTGCGAAAAGACACTTATTTACATTATTTTGTGCATAGTGTGTTGTAATCTGTCGCGATGATGAATTTACAGTGCATTAATTGCATTCAGAGTTTGTCGCACATGAGACGGTATGCTCTAGGAAATGAGAGTGAAGATTAGACGTGGTCAACAATATCCCATTGCGGACTTATCCTAGAGATGTAAGTACCTAGTTTACCCGGATAACATATCGAAAGTCACCATGTTGCCTGAATAAAAGAAGGCGCATAGTGTTATCTACCCATAATGTATCATTTTATTCTTTTTATTCTAGATCTCTCCTACCGACCATATTTGCAATGCTTGCTGGGAATTAGCAATGTATCGGGATGTTGCTGAAAGTATGTCCAGCAAACAAATTGGTCATCGGCATGTTTGTGTCGTATATGGGTGATTCATTGCAAGGATAAGGTGATGCAGGGTTTTAATTGAAGGCGCCAAAGAACAGGACTAAAGACTGGCTCATATAGTATTTGATTGGATTCAGCCACAAGAGGTAATAAAGCATAATTTAACCATAATATTATCATTTACAGTGTAATCTAAGGTCAATATCATATTCTAATAATATTACTTATTTTAGCTTACTTCCCATGATGAAGATCATGTTCCATACTGACTGAGAGACCATACAAGAGTCAAAACTATAAAACCACAACCTGACATACCACCTCACAGTGTTCACTATCAGGAAGTAATGTATTATGTAAACATGGACTAAGCCTCATTTTAACATTGCCATTTGTAGAACAGATGAGGCCGGAAGATGTTGTTTGGCTCTCAGAGCTTCAACAAGTATGCATTCTCATTATAATGTACCTACATAATTATGTATCTATGTGGAGTATATAAGCGGTTTATAATAGGTTTATACTCATGTTATAATTATAATTTATTAATTAGCATGCTGTTTGAGCTCCTATGATCTGTAATACAAATAATGTGATCTGATATACGAATAACTATAATAAATGTTATAAAATCAATTAATGTAATCAAATATTTATTTTTATCTTTTCCATTTTAAACTGTCAAACACCAAGCGGTCACCGGTGACCGCAACCTATTGTTCTTTAATTGTGTCTATAAATACGGTACTCGACGAGTTAAGGTAGGGAATCAGACATATTATTATAACATATAAAACTAAAGGAAAAAATGTACTTTTGTTTACTTTATTTACAGTTACCTTACTTGTTTACAGCAATTGATGTCTGCTGTACCTATGACACTGCCTGTTCTCTTTTTAGATGAAATAGTCCTAGAAACAACCTGAATACAATGAAATAAAAGAATTTTAAAATAATACATTTGTTTTATTTTAACCTAGTAAGTAACTTTAAACTCTATCTTGATAAAAGTGATTTTAAGAATTAATCTATGAAATAAATGCCATATTTAATTTGATAGCTTTAGTTTTATACCAAAAATGTTCATTTTCATTTTACATTTTCTTTAGTTGTGATGTGGTGGCCTGGAGGTTTAAGAAGCCCGCTTCTCATGCATGAGTGCGGGTTCGAAACCTACCAACAGCAAAGTACCAATGTGTCTTTCTTCCGAGTTATTCGTATATTAAATAATCTAAGAAAGTACAAAGACACCTCTATTGAATTGTGAGGAAACATGGGCTTATAATTTCTTATTATAAGTTTGAATTACCAACCCACATTGAGCTAGTATGGTGATTAATGCTCAAACCTTCTCCATGCGAGAAGAGGCTTCGGTCAGCAGTGGCCACTTATAGACTTAATGATGAAAATGTTGATGATTCTACTAATTTGACTTACTTATTAGAAATTAAACCTTACACGCGTGCTAAGCAACCAGTTTTCAGAAGAAATACTTTCTCAAAGAGCTAAGCTTAAGTTTAAAGAATTAACTTAAAGACTATTTGTATATCAGGCCTCTGCCTCGAATCTTGATTTTACACATTAAATCTTGCGTCTGCCCGCAAGATTCAAGGTGAAGTGAGACATTACTTTTATCATATCCGCCACAAGACTTCCACTGCTAAATGTAGGGCTTCTACCCAATGACAGTGGCTTACATTATGAATTTGCATTTTCGTAGGCACCTAAGAAATAAAAAAGATTGTGAGGCATACTCTTTAAAACTCTATTGGTACATCATGCTTGCTGAATTAACAGGATCATTCCTAATAATACAAAGTGTAATAGTCACTAGAGTAGCGAGCAGTATTTAGATTTTGTTTTTTGTAAACAACCACAAGAGAGCACATTGACATTTTTCAGTTAACTGTCATCTGTCATTTGTAATAGATATTTTGCTTAACGGTGGCTCTACACTTGACGTTGCGTATTAGTCGTGTTCGGCCAAAAAAGAACATGTGGAGGATTTATTCTTCTTTGTTTGCTCTATATTTGCACGCCATTACATATAGAGATACTATTTGGACGCCATTTGTACGTAGTCTACTAATATTTTAACAAATGAAGCGACTACGCAATGTCAAGTGTGGTACCACCTTAACGTACCTTTTGCACATTTTCAAAGTGAAATAACTTTTGAACCCCAAGTTCTAAAAATATGTAATTTTTTTCTAAACTTCATAATAAAAATATCTATCGTTCAGACTATTCGTTTGGTTAAAACAATGACTAATACAAAATTTTATAGCGGTACAAAACTTCCATACAAACCTGCCATTCTCCTTTATAAATTTAATTAAAATTCAAAAGTTTAATTTACCAAATTAGATCACATGTAATAAATTTACCAATTCGATTTATAAATGACAAGTTTTTTCTTAATTACCCCTAATTATTAAAATGTCAGTTTCGTTTCTATCCGACTCGTACAGGGTGATCGCAGCGCTGCAGGTGGAGTCGCGCGCGGGCCAGCTGCGGGCGGACGGGCCGGCCACGGGCCTGGCGGCCGTCGACCAGTACGATACATACATCGCTCTCGTCACGTAAGTCTCACTAGATCTACAAAACTAGTGTTGTTACCATAACTTTGACAAGGTAATTTACTAGTAGAGCCCTGCTAGGGACTCATATTCATGGCATACGACGCGGCAAACTTCATGCATTAGGTGAGTTTATCAGTATTAATCACATATTTTTTTTTAAAATACCTATGTATTTACCATTATAATATTTTTTCTTGCTGTGTGCCTACTGATTTTGATGTATTTATAATTTTAATTTAATTTTGTCTTAGCTGTTACCTATTAAGTTAATCTGTAATTCACACGAATAAATAGTGGCTCAATGTTACTATTTTTCTGCTAAATTTGTGTAATGTAGCTGTTGATTCACCATTTAATAAATAAATTAATTAATGTATACGATATTTTTAAAATTTAATGTCAATAAACGCAAACCTCAATAATTTGTGGCAGAACTTAAAGTTTTTAAAACTACTGTGTTGAAGCAATGACACAGGTGTATATGAGCCTGTTGCTGTATACAGAGGGCTGTCGGCGCCTTTCGGATCGGGCCCGGTGGTAGAGGGCGGCGCGCCAGACGGGTCGGGCTGGGCGCTAAAAGGAGTGGGCTGGACGCTGGATGAGCCGCATGCACAGCTCGACCTAGCTCCCGCTATTATGCTCGACACCACCGTCTGCGGTCAGTATACTCCACTCTACTGCTAAGGTATAGGCACCTAATAAGGCCCACCTTATTTGAAAACCTCGTTGAATCTTGCAGACAAATAAAGTACAAAAATATTGCAAATGTGAGCATTATAAAGAATTAAATACTTTTAATATAAAACTTCGTAGTAAAAACACATCCTTCGCATAACATCTACATATTATCTATACTTATAATACATCTGTAGAGAGGTCAAGTCTGACGCCTTAGTAAGAGTTTCCATTACGTTTAAAATAATCGTATCGAGTACGTGTTCGGCTCGCTCCAATGAACCAACCAATCAGAGGCCGGACGAGGTATCGTTTCGATTACCATTTCATATAAGACAACGTGGTACTAAGGTGTCTGTACATGAAATATATTTCCAAAATAACTAACAGGACACTCTAATAACACGATCGGAGATCGATACTGATGCCAAATATGCAATCAGTAAATATTTATCTGTCTGTCTGTCTGTATAACCATAATAGAAACAAAAATTACTCGATGGATTTTAACGAAACTTGGCACAATTATTTTTCGTACTCCTGAGCAGGTTATAGTGCACTTTTATATTACATATAAATACTTTTCATCACGCTACAATCAATAGGAGCAGAGCAGTGAAGGGAAATATTGGAAAACGGGATAACTTACTTAATTTTTTAAGCTTCCGTCGAGTGTACAACAATAATGGTTAAAGCTACACTGAAATCATGTAAACTGTAATATAAAGTTCTGTAATAATCAAAAAATATATGATAATAAAAATCAAGCATAAAATAAAAAGAAACTACAACATAAACTAAGCTTCAGTTTGAGATCAACTTAACAAATACACAAATGAGTTGCTTTATCTCTCATTCTTTTTTGTCTCATTCGTCTTAGGGAACCATACTGTGGGCCATCTTATGAAGTCTACTAAGATGGAATTCGCTGAAATAGATGAATTAAGTATTTTTACTCTTCAAAGCAAACAGAATTGTTGTTAAATGTTTAATTTTTAAAAACGGGTATCATCTTGGCAGGACCTAGCAAACTGTCGTCCTAATTTAAAATGGTGATACGCCGGTAATGTAAACCACTAGCACTTTTGTGTGGAGCGCTAATATAAACATGCGAAGTTTCAAATGTTTCGGATGATTCATAACTGTATTTTTTTAAAGTGGGACTTTTAGGTAACGGGCCTTCTGTGTTGACTTTACCTTACACCTATTGTAAGCTTAATTTGATCTTCTCACGGATAAGCAAATACAAATTAAACCACTTGTATCGTATTAAACATGATATACTACCCAAAGATGGCCCGCTTCCTAAGAAGCAGGCCACCATTGACGAATTATATAATAATATGACTCTGATGGATTATAATAGAAATTAGCTTCTGCCCGCGACTTCGTCCGCGTGGAATAGTGACTTCTGGCAGATTTTTGATTTTACTTACATAATACCCAATCTCGTGGGATTTTCGGGAAGTTTTTGTTTATCCAAATCGGTTCACTAGGTAGTTTAGGCGTGAAGTGTGGCGTGTAAAGAAGTGATAGACAGACAGACAGAGCTACTTTTGCATTTATAGCATTAAATTGAAATAAAATAAACACAATACTTTGAGGAAAGCTAACAGCAACACATTAAAATAACTCAAAAACCGATTAATTATTTCAGCGCGCCACAAAACGTAAGTTCCTGGCAATCTTCTTCTATTACTTATAATATTTATTAGGTATATGTAGAGAGGTCAAATCTGTACATGAAATATAAAATTAGCTGTGCCCGCGCCTTGTGGTATTAATAAAAATCAACAATGCTTCAATAGTTACAACTATTATATCATAGTTATATGATAGGTACAACTATTATATTAATCAATTAAAGTAATGTAAGTAGAACAACAAACTAAACTAAATTAAATCTTACTAGGTGTTGTTATTGCTTCATTATTTTACTAAGAAAATGATATTTATGAAATGAACGTTTAACCTTTAATTACCGTTGTACCTTACGTACATAAGTCACATTCCTACTACGTAGCCGTAGGGCTCGTTAGCAGGTAGGTACTACTTACACGAAAAAAAATTCACAACAAAACAATCTAAAGTCTAAACTAACTAAAACACTGCAAAATACAATACTTTAATAATTGAAATATTACAAGACCACTTTTAAAAGGCTACTTTTTTGTTTTTGAGTAAACGACCCAATTACAATATTAATTATCACAATCGTATCAAGAACCAAACACTTTTAATATCGGGAATAGAACCTGCACGAAGGAAAGCTGCCTGGGCTGGGAGGGTCATTATTTTCACAAAAATCTTAACACCTCAATTTAGGATTGTGATTAAGCTGTTTTTGAGATTAGCCCGAACAAACATAGGTAGGTGACCTATAGATAAACAGACAGAATTTTTTAAAATCATTGTTTTGGGTTCTATTGCGTATATACAGTTTTTCTTAGATAACTAAGAAAGACTTTTACATTTTTATTATAATATGTATGTATTGATTGATTTATATTGTTAGATTACTATGAGTGATGTGAGAGTGCGCGTGTGTGCAGGCACGCGGTACGTGCTGGGGGCGGAGTCGACGAGCGCCCTGGCGCAGGCGGGCGCGGCGCTGGTGGTGGACGGCGCGGCCGGCGCCGTGGAGCGCGCGCGCGTGGCGCTGCGGCCCGCCGGCCTGTTGGCGCTGGAGGCCGGGCGCGCGCCGCCGCCCGCCGCCGCGCTGCCGGCGCCGCCCGCCTACAACGCCACGCCGCCGCACGCCGCCGTCAACCTGGTGCAGCAGCGCGCCGACGCGCTGGCGTCGCACGCCGACAGTCGCGGCGGAGGACTCGCCTCGCGGTTCTGACCTCGCCCCTCTCCCGCTCGCTGCTCGCCCTGACACTGCGACACCGAATAACTTGTGTACGATACGTATGTAAACCGAAATCTGAAGCTGTATCCCGAGGCGCCAGGAGGTTCAATTGATGTTATTTGTATGAGGTATATTTGGGAGAAACAATTTATTTTCTGCAGATTATACATAAAGTTTCGTTAATTGTCCAAAGATGGAGCTAGGCGTATATTGTTACGAGCTATGTAACCCTTCGTGCGAGATTCTGACTCGCACTTGAATGGCAGAGGCTCATTGTTATTTTTTTCTTAGCGTTAATAAATACATAACGTCAGAAACTTTTTTATTGCTTTTTTTAGTCATCAGGTCGTTTTGTTTACACATAGTTTATTCGTAGTTTATACATAAAAAAATCCTAAATACGTGTATTTGTATTTCATATAAAAAGTTGGAGGAGGGGTTTACTCTAGGGGACCAATGATATGGAAAAGAATACCTAATCTCAGTATAAGTAAATACCTATCACCATTCACTCCGTAGTCCGTACACGTCCGTCCGCGTGAAGGCGACGCCGGGCGGCGTGTGCCAGCGTCACTGTCGCGGCTGTGGCGCGCTCGGTCTGTGGCGCTGCTGACTTGTTTACACGATGATAATATCTATTGAATATGATTGTAACACATATAAATTTGCACACGTGTTTGTGTGTGTGCGTCACGCGAGGTCCCTTCCCCTCCTCTCCTTTCCTTCATCGGACGAGGGGGGGAGGGGGACCGTATATGTTTGTAATAAACACGCGCAACTAACACACTGACAGAGTTTCTTTCTAACGCAATAAAACTTGTTATTTATGCATAAACTTTTGTTTCCTTTTTCCAAGTAGGTAGGCTAAGTACTTACGTTACGCGTTAGTTAGATATACTTCCTTGTTTAAACCTACCTACTACGTAAACTGTAGTAAGTACCATGACATGATGCTTTGAATTTTCGAAAGCAAGAACAGCGGTGCCAAACAGTCCCTATTTGTCAGTTGTGTTATGAGATTCATGTATCTAAAGGTGGGTTTATTGCCGTAGTTAGCTCCTTGTCCAGAGGCCCTGAGGTGCACAGTGCACGGGGAATAGAACGCCTCGCACCTTCTAGCTGCACCACAGAATATTACGCTGCAGAGTGAGCGCGCGTGGTGACGTCACGTGGCGACGTCAGCACTAGCGACGCGTGTACGTAGGGAAACAATGGGTCGCTGCTTCAAGGCTCGCAGCTGTGGCACTTGTTAGTACAGGCTACAGGCGCTACAGTGGATGTTATCAGATGCTCATCCAATCACAACCGACTGCGTTATGCTTACGCATGCCTATGGCCTACTTATCTACCATTGAAATGTTTGCTATGTTGCACCGATATAATTCAGAGTTATTTTAGATTCACCAACAACATCGCCGGCCGCCGCACCCTAATACTTACATCAGCTGCATCATCAAACAACAACTTGTGTTCTACGACATTCATCTAATTTTAGGACAAAATGATTAAATAAATAAAATATAATAAAAAGTAAATTGTTTATTTAGTTGCTGAACTAAACCCGCGCGACGTAGCAGTGCGCTGCTGGCGGCGCGGCCGCAGTCAGCGGCTCCATACATTGCCGCGTACCCACTACACTAACGTCTACACTAGTTTCTAGTTTCCGTCACTTGTACATTTAGATTAAGTCGTATCTTATTCCTGTATATGTATTTCGTTCATTGACTGACATATTATATATAAATTTCATTCAGTCATAATAGGTATTATAGCTTACAATAAAAAAAAAGTAAAATAGCTCGCTTAAAATTATAACAAAATATTCCTTTGTTATTTTCAACTAAACAAACCATTGCTTGGTTAGGTATTTATTGTGAGATATTTGTATGGTACACGTAGGCAAACGAGCACACGGATCACCTAATGGTAAGCAATCAGCGCCATCCATGGACCCCCGAAATACCGGTATGATGATACAAGTGCGGTACCGGCCTTTAGGCATTTGAGGATTAGGCGATTTGAGACGGGGAAGAAGGCAATTCTCCGCCAATCACCTCGGGTAGCTCACACAACGAAACAACGCAAACTTTATTTCACGCTGCTTTTCTGTGAGGCCGTGGTACTACTCCGGTCAAGCTAGCCCATTCGTACAGCATGGCTCTTTCATACTTTAAATATTTTATATATAAGACAAGCTAAGCAAGCACACATCTACATATGTCAAGTAGAGCGACGCGCGGCGTGCGCAAGTTGTGATCTTGAATAACAAGAACAAAACAAGTTTAACAGTGTGGCTACTGCTTCGTTGAGATACTTTTCTTTTTGATTTCGAGAAGGCGACCTCTACGTAGTACTGCGTTGCGTAAGTGCCGGAGTGGAGAGCCAACTTTATAATATCAAATTATATGTATTACTCAAACACATGTACATAATTATTACGTCACCATTCTGGGTGGACAACACGGACGTTGAGTCACATTCACATTTTAAAGATATGCATCAAGAGCGCCAAGTTAGACTTAAACAATAAGCCTTTTAAGCCCCAAAGTGATATAAACCAATGCCGCTTGTACAGTTAGCGCAGTAGCTGGGCTATCGCCTTTTTTCCGAACAAAATAATTCGTTATGTGATTCACAAATAGTCTTGGAGCAGGGGGTAATGAGTATTTCAAAAGGGAAGCGAGACGGAATGCCATCCGAGATTGGGGCCAAGCCAACACCATTAACTCTCATCTGGTTCACCCAAAGGTTCGACACCGGGGCGTAACTGGCACCGTATCTGCCGTATCCGGGCCCCCAACGTGTGTAAGCAAAAATTAATAAAAGCATTTATTTAATTTCAAAAATCAATCAATCTAAGTCAATATAATATAAGCAATTAGGTAATAAATATTGATGACATTGTGAGTGCCATTGTTTGAAGCAGTAGGATGTGATAGGATAACTACTGAAATGCTAACAGAGGGCGGAGGCGTAATTGCAAGCCTGCTGTATGTACTTTTTAATAAGTGTTTTCGGTGCGGTCGGGTCTCTGGAAACTGGGCCAAGACCGTAATTGTGCCACTGTATAAAGGAAAAGGATCACAGCAGGAGTGCAAAAATTATCGCGGTATAAGCCCCCTAAACGTAGTAGAAAAGTTGTATGCCAAGATCTTGATTGAAAGAGTGATGAATGTAACTGAGATTAAAATCTGGGATGTGCAAACGAGATTTCGAAAGCGAATGGGGTGTACGGATCAAGTCTTTTCTTTACGGTGCATTTCAGAGAAAGTCTTAGCAAAGCACCAAAAGGTATTCTGTGCCTTTATTGACCTAGAAAAGGCTTACGACAGAGTGGTGAGGGATGAATTTTGGTCAACTCTGTCCATGTATGGGGTGGATAGCCACCTGATTCGGGCTCTTAAATACTTATATACGGACTCGAATGCCTGTGTCAGGATAAATGGGGACTACACAGAGTGGTTTAACATTAATCGAGGTATTAGGCAAGGCTGTGTAACACCTCCTTGGCTGTTCATCCTATTTATGGACAGCTGTTTGAACGATCTGAAAATAGGAGAGTCTGGATTAAGAATGAATACACAGTGATTGAAACATTGCTATGTTTTCAATGTCGTCGGCCGAAGAAGTACAACGAATGATCACTGTTATGAATGATGCATTTGAAAGGAAAGGTATGAAAGTAAATGTGAACAAGACAAACGTGTTGGCGATAGAAAGAAATGAGGTGATAACAGAATGTCAGGTAATGATAGGTGATGAAAAATTGAAACAAGTGAATGAGTTTGTTTATCTGGGATCACTATTTACGAGAGATGGAAAGTGTGATGGGGATATTGAAAGGAGAGTGAAAGCGTCAAATAGTGTTAGATGGTGCCTTACACTCTGTAAATACATTTCGAGTAAAATAATATCCAGCAAAGCTCGACTTGCTGTAATGCAGTGTGCATTGACACCAACGCTTATGTATAGTAGTGAATCAATGTATGTGTGGACTATAATTGAGTGATCAAGTGAAAAATAGTGTTATTAGAGAAAAGTGTGGATTGAAAGAAGATGTAGTGACAAGGATTAAAAAGGGAATGTTACGCTGGTTTGGGCATGTAGAAAGGATGGATGAAAGTAGAATAACGAAACTAGTATACAGAACGGATATGAATGGGGCCGTCGGTAGAGGGCACCCTAGATTTATGGCATGGGCATATAGTGACCAGATTGGCGATATATTAATGAAGGGCCAAATTAAAAGTACCCTTGACCGACGAGCATGCATGTCTGAAATGTCGATATCCTACTACAGAAGGGACCGCAAATATTTTTTTAATTTTATACGCCACTGGTTTGACGGGGAGAGGAAGCAGAGTTATGAAAAGTGTTTAGCTAAATAAACAAAAAACATAAAATGAGTTTATCAAATTGCTAAAGCGCTAATAAATTATTTTCAGGATATTTAAGAAAGCAGCACAGCGTCTAACCGTGCAATGTAAATTGCAAGAATCTTGCAATTTCTCTCTTTAATCCTTGCCGGAATCTGTGTTTCCCGACAAATGTAACTTGGGTAACAGGACTAAGGCCTTTGTCCAGCAGTGGACGTCTTTCGGCTGTCGATGATGATGATAACTTGGGTGTCTTCAAGTCCCGAGTGAACAGGTTCCACATATATAGGCGTGCTCCATCATCCGCCACATCATCGCATACCACCAGGTGAGATGGTGGCCAAACGTCGACCAATTAAGTATAAAAAAAAATTACAATCGAACCGAATTCTGGCCCCTCACGAAGATTTTCTCCTGTGTCATGGATTCGGTGGGCTCGTTGGTATGTTTACAAACATTCACATACAACGCATATCAGAGTCAGGCCCGAAACAACAATTTTTCGATCAAAATTAATGGCCGGGTGGCCAGCCACGGCGCCAACCGAGTCTTTAGAATGATTGAGAAAGGTGCACAGTTGCATACAGTGCACAGTGGTAGATATTTGGTACTGGCTGA